AATAGACAGTTGATATTAGTTTCGAAAACAATGTAATAAAAGGTTATTAGGATCATAGTGGTTTTTAGAGTGACACTACTAAACCTTCTGAAGAATACAATCCTAGATCAATTAAACTATTTGAAAAAGGCAAATAACTATTAAGAGAAAAATAAATTGATGAAGCAATTGAGTAAACAATTTATTGATAATGATAGTTAATTAAAAAAATGTGTAGAATTTGATACTAGATTATTAGAAGGTCATTATTTTTTAGGATTAGGCTATTTAGGAACTCAAATGTATTAAAAAGCTATTGCAGAATTCTAATATGTTATTTAAAAGGATGCAGTTCATCGCAAAAACATTTACCTCTTATTAGCTATTTCTCATAAAAAAATGAATGAAGTAGATTAAGCAATTTAAATACTCAATAAAGTGATAGTAATGTTTCCTAGATATTATGATGCTTACATTTATCGAGGGAAATTATATATCAAACTCAATCAAATTGATAAAGCTGAATAAGATTTTAATGTAGCCACTTAATTAAGTCCATAAAAAGGATTAGGTTATTTAGGTAAAGCTGATTGTTTAAGAATGTAATGCTAGTATAAACAAGCTATCAAATTCTATTAAAAAGCCATTAATTGTGAATAAGCAGTTGGAAATGCAGCAATGTTAAAAAAGGCTATTACTTTATATGAAAGTTAATAATATGAAGAATGTGCAAAGGACTTAACATAACTGTTAGAAACTGATCCAACAAATTCTGAAGCCTATTATTTCAAAGGATTAAGTAGATTAAAAATAAGTAATTTGTTTTTTTTTATTTTAGAGAATGCAACTGAAGCATTACTATGTTTTGAATAAGCCATCAAACATAATAATTCTAAAAAAGCTGTTACTAAATCTTTGTATGAAATAGCTAAGATGAAAATTGAATAAAGAGATTTTTATGCAGCTTATCATACTTTGAATAGATCTTCTATGTTAGACACAGAAAAAAGTTATTTAGAGAAATTTCGATTGTTTACTGAAGTAAATTAATCAATTTAAATAGGCTGTTATATTTTTAATGAAAAGAAAGTTCTAAGAAAGTATGCTCAATTTTCAAGAAATCTAAAATAATCATTAATTAAATGATTTTTTAAAACCCTTATTTTATGCTTATAGAGCTTATGGACATTTTTGTTTATCTAAACATTAAAAAGCACTAGATGATTACAAATATCTATTAGAAATTTAACCAGCTGAATCTAGTGTCCATTATAATAAATTTTTATGTGAAGGAATATTAAAAGTATAATCTGGGTTATTCACAGCAGGTATGGAGTTCTTTTAAAGAGCTTAGAAGATATTTTAAAAGAAAATGGAACCAACATTTTATTTGGCTGTTACTTATATTAATTAATCTTTCAAAAAAAAAAGTGATTAGTATAAAGATATTATCAAAGGACTAGAATTATTAGATAAAGCAAATAGTATGAATGATTAAAATGCTAATTTATATTATGTTCGGTCTATTGTTAAGTGTTTTTTAGGCTAAGTAAATGAAGCATTGATGGATATAGAAACAGCAATCTAAAAGTCAGAAGATAATGTTGCCAAATATTTTTATTTAAGAGGGATGATTTTTGGAATACTTAAACAATATAAGCATTCTTTAAATGATTTTAGCATTTGTCTAACACTAGATGAAACATTTGCTGATGCTTACTTAAATAGAGCAAAATGTCATTTTTTAAGTGGAGATTCAAATTCTGCTTTCTCAGATTTACAATAATGTATTCAAATATTATAAGATGATCCAAGAATGCATGTATGGGCTGGTAACTTTTTATTTGCAAATGCTGCTATTGAAGATGCCATAAAAGCTTATTCCAATAATAAAGATTTTAAAAATAATCCAAAATTATTATAATTATGCTCTGAATGCTATATGGTTTTAGGTGATCTTAATTTATGTTAAGAGGATATAAATAGATTATATAAATTAACAAAAGAGAAGACTGCAGAATTTGATAAGGATATGCTATAAGCTTTAAGATTAGTATTTAAAGATGATTAATAAATATATTATAATGAAGAAAGTGAAAATGAGTAAATTGAATTTAAAAATAATCTAAATAAAGCAATTAATAGTTTAACTTAATTGTGTAGAGGAAATGGTAAATTGTTTCAATAATTTCATGTTTATATATTTCGAGGAGTCTTCTTGTTTCATTTAGAAAAATATGAAGATGCTTTAAGAGACTTTTAAATGGCAAAAAGTCAAAAAGAGCTTTCTATTACAGAAAAGAGATTAAAATAAAGGGGAAGTCAATAAGATATTTTTAATGATGAGGAATTTCATGAGTTAACTGAAGATGAAGAAGATGCTGATTTGTTAGAAATATTAGAAATTAAATTTAATGAATTAATTTGTTTAGTTATACTTAAGTAATACAAGAAAGCCAAAGAAAAATGCAAATAGTTAATTGAGAATATTAATGAAGCAAAGTAAGAGGGTTTATAAATTTTATTGATGCATATTGAATAAATTCTTATGAGAGATTAACAAAATATTGATTATTAAAGAGTTATATGTTTGTATGATGAACCTAAAGAGAATATTATTTGCTTTTAAGTACCTATTGTATTTGTAAATGGATTAAAAATACGTTTATCATTTAGTTTACCAAAATTGTCTCCTCCATCTTTATCCATAACATTTGATAGAAAACTAGTTTAAGATATTGGAGTATTATTTTAATAATTTATTATTTTAGCCTTTATCTGTTGAAAATAAACCAGAAGCTCCTTGGATAAGAAGAGAATAATAAGATGATATGATCATATTTACAGAAAATGTTTAATTAGTAGATGATATTAGATTAGAAACTGAAAAAGATGATGAGTAAACTTAACAACAATAATAAATGTTAGAAATTACTTAAATAAAAAATAATCTAATGTTAGATAAAGATATTGAAGAAAAATTATAAAGATTTTTCGATAAAAAAAATAAATAAAAATGATTTATTATATAATTAAATATATATAATTTTCACTGCTAACAAATAATAATCTATTGGAAAATCATTTACTTTATTATAGTATTTCAAAATATGAAGGAGAATAGTATAGATTTTTGATAGAATTTTAGATTATTTTATTTTTTCAACTATTATTTAATCCTTTTATATAAAAGTATATAATCTCTTTCTTTTTACTATAAATTTTCATATATTTTCTTTTGATTAGAATTGAATATCTATTTATTTAACTCATATTCAATATTTTAGTAATTTAATTAGTATTAAGTCATTAATCTAATTAAAAATTTGTATTATTAGAGAGATTCAATCTAATATGTATTAATTTTTATCTATCATCTGTAAAATATAAATTTTCAATATTCAATAATGGTGTGACGAGTAGTCATTAAAAATTTTAAATTAAATTAAATCTTTTATACAAATAAAATGTCTTTGGTTTTGGAAAAGGCTGATTCATTCAGACACATTATTCGTATTTTGAACACAAACGTTGAAGGAAAATAAAGACTTGCTTATGGTATTAGAAGCATTAAAGGTATCGGAAGAAGATTTGCTATCTAAATTTGCAAGGTATTTAATGTTAATTTATTCATTCTATAGGTTCTCCGTCTTGATCTTACAAAGAGAGCTGGTGAATTGACTGATGATGAGGCTCACAAAATCACAGAAGTCATCAAATCACCAGAAGCTTATAACATTCCAAGATGGTTTTTGAATAGACAAAGAGATTTTAAGGATGGCAAAAATTATTAAGTCACAACAAATGAATTGGAAACCAAATTAAGAGAAGATTTAGAAAGAATGAAGAAAATCAAGTATTTCAATTAAATTATGTTAAGGTGTAATCGTGGTTTGAGACATCATTGGGGATTAAGAGTCAGAGGACAACATACTAAAACCACAGGAAGAGGAGGATAAACTCTTGGAGTTGAAAGAAAGAAGAAGTGATTAATATTTTATTAAGTACATTAAAAATAATAAATGGACTAATTATGGTTTAATGAATGGTATAACTTCTAATTTGTTTGTTAAAAAATTAATATTTCATAACATATTTTTAAATCAAACTTTGTGTTTATTTTATTATTCAAATCTCCTTAACTCTATTATAAGTGCATTCTGTCTATCCTTAATAAATCACATAGTAATTTATTTAAAGATTTCTGGCAAGAAAATATTTAATATGATAAAAAATTAGGTCTAAATATTTCAATTTTGCAAAACATAAATCACTTTGAATATAATAGATGCGATTATAATACAGCTGAATCACTCACTTTCAACTATGGTTAAATAAATAATCAAATTTCTATTTTAAGAATCAAACTATTCTTTTTTTCATTTTACAATAGAATTTGATTAATTTTATAAAAGTAAAATATTATTAGAAGATAGAAGTCATTTGATTTCAAATATATAAAATTAATTCATTACTAAATAATAATCAAACAATATTATGTTAAATGATTTAAGTAGCAAAATATTTATGAAGAATAATAATAATTATACAATTTTCAGAATTATGACATTTTTATATAGTTTAATATATTATAAATTTTGATGAACTCATAATCATATAACATATATATATATATTAATTATCTTTTAAAGTTATCCTTATAAATACAATAAAAGTTTTGAGATATTAAAATTGTTTCTGATTCTTTTTATTAGTTCTTTATATTCTGTTATCATAATTCAACTAATTTTAAAGAATTAGAGGTTTGGGAACAAAAGTTTTTTTGGCATTTCCATTTTATAATTAAATAGAATCTTATTGTTTCCTGTAATCTTAGAAGTTGAATTATTTTAAGAGGAATGATAATTGGTTTGTTTAGAAAGAGAAGTTAACTAATACTAAATATTTTAAATGAGATAACGATGATTTATGATTGCATTAATTAAAATAAACATAATTTATCAGAATTAAAGCTATCATCCCTGATCAGGGATATTAATTTAATATAATTAATAAATTTAATGACAGACACAGTTACATAATCTATTACAAGAAGAGAAAAAACATGGGCAGAATTAGCTGAAGAGGAAGATGAGTATTTGGAAGAATTATAAAATTAAGTTTAATTTTTAAATTATACTAAGAATAAAAATGAATAAAGTCAATTAGCGGGAAAATAATTAACTAACTTTCAGAAAAGAATGATCGAAAGAATACAAAAATATGATAAACCTATTGAAGTAGGTCTATATTAAGTTCCAGAGGATATAAGTAAAGAAGACATTTATATCGCTTTTAAACAATACCATATTAGAGATTGCTATTTCAGAAGATTAAACTGTTTCTTTTATTTACCAAAAGAATAATCCATTAAATTAGTAGAAGAGAGCAATCTAAGAATAACTATAAAAGGTGTGAATCTTTTGATAGTGATGCTACCATTAAAAAATTGATTGATATATAACATTTTCATATCTACTTAGTGATATCATATTAATTGTTCTAATTAACTATAACTAATAGATCCCGGTTTTCTTTCTATATAAAGTTCTGGTTGGGAAGCCTTTTAAAACTATTTATAATCTGTGGGATAATCTAACACCTTTTGTATCAAATCTTAATAACCTATTAATCCTTGTAAGATAAATGCATGCATTTATAACTATATATATATATTTATATATTTACATCTTCTGGTAAAAGTTAGTCTTGTTTATCAAATTTAATAAATTAGAAATTCTATTTAATTTCTGTTATACTCAATCTCAAATACTATAAAGCTGTCTTGTAAAAGGAATCTGATTCTAGTAGATGATTATTACATAATATTCCAATAATTGCATCTTTTTGGAAATCTAATGAAGTATTAATAAAATTATATACTATTTTTATTAGCTAATTTTAATGTTTTTTCAAAATGTCTCAAATATTTATCTTGATATTCTGAAATTGCTTAACAGAATCTTTTATAAGATTCACTTTTTCTATAGTTTTCAAAATCATTCAAATTGAATATATTTTCTGTTTTATTCTCTTTATCTAAGATGGTGGATAACTTATTTATTTTAATTGCCATATTTTTACCCATTAAAAATAACAATTTATCTCTGATTTCAGTAGGGAATACTTTAAAACTAGCTAAATGTTAAGAAAATTTATAAAGGAAACGACAGAAATTGATTTAACAGAATAAAATCTCGTTATTTTATTTAAAATCTAAAGTTATAGATTTTTATTTCTATAAAGGAGGAGTAGGTTACACTTATTCTTCAAAAGCATTTGTTTTAACTATTTTTTAAGGTAAAAGTAATTAGTTTTAACTTGAAGATCGCTATATTTATTCTTCAAGCTTTTTTTGATTTTCTTCATGTAATTTACGCTTATCCTCTATCTATTGAGGTTTGAAATCTCTGATTGCATTATCTTTAATGTTCTAACTTTGACTTCTTTTAATTTTCTTTACTTAAGAGTTTTCAGTTGGTAAAGTGATATTTTGAATTTGTTTTAAGGGTTTTCTTTTTTCAATTGGACTTAAATTTCTTGATTGCATTATAGTATGCTCTATCATATCCTTAACTCGCCATCTCTTAAATTCATCTATCTACAAACATTTACGAATGAAATCCTTTGATTCATCAGAGACCATAGGGGAAGAAGGTAGAACTAATTATTAATGTTAAATGTTGGAAATTAGAGCTGCTTCAGATGATGCATTATAAGGTGTTCTGCCTATCTCAATATCAATAAAGCATTACCATATAGCATTTCAAAAAATACAATACCAATTGCCCAAACATCTCCTTTTTCAGTGTGTCCTTACTATCTCAAAGCTTAAGGAGACATATATAAAGGAGTTCCTACATTAAAGTTTCTGCCTTAGATTCTAGCTTCATAAGCAGGGACTGCAAATCCGAAATCAGCTAATTTTGGTTGATTGTCATTTAGTAAAATGTTAGCTGGTTTTATATCTCTATGGATATAACCTTTCTTATTCATTTCATTTAATGCACTAACTACTGCTTACAATATTCTTATAGCTTCAGATTCCTCTATTCTTCCTTTCTTTCTGATGTAATTGTTTAGATCACCCTGAATTATATATGAGACATTACCGAGTCACAAAATTCTGTTATGATATAAGTATTATTTTAGGTTTAAAATACATCATAGAGTTTCATAATATTTTTATGGTTAAAGGCTTTAAGTGCATTGATTTCATTTTTTAATAGCTGGGAATGGATTGATTGCTTCACCATCTTCATATCAATAACCTCAACTTTAAGTAATTATGTTACTTTAACAGCTACATTTTCTGCTGTGTTCTCATCTCTTCCTTTATAGACTCTACTACTAAATCCTCTTCCTATTTCTTCATTAATAGCATAGGAATAGTGATCAATTGCTTTCCTTGTTTCACTTCCTGCTTTATTATGAACTGATTTATATTACAAAATGATTACATTACGTCCTATAAGCAGATTGAGATGTGGCATAAGATGGCAAATGAGGGCGGGTTTAGAACATTATTTGAAAATAATTAAATTTCCTTATTAACGATTTTCTAAATAAATATAATCGAATTAATTATTATAAAAATACTATCTATATTTAAATCTCATATTAGAATAGAAATATTATAAAAACCAATTTTCATTAGAAGTAATCAACCTTTGTTTTTTTAAATGACTTTTTATTAAACAATCCTGAAGTATTAATTTATTCATTTTTAATATTGTTTTATTACATCTATGGTAAAATATCTCCTAATTCAACATCTTTGTCTGCCAATTCTATTAATTTTTATTATAATATTCTATTTTTATCCTTTCCTATTTATCCAAATACTAAGACTTCTTTAACAAATTCTTATTGATTTTTGATTGTGCCTTCTTTAATATCTTTATCAATTTTCTATGCTAATTATTCTTCATGATTTAATTCTGCTTCACCTTCTTCTTCTGACTCAGAAGTTTCTACCTTAAATTTATTTAAAAAGGTGTCTTCAGTTTTAACAACTTCCCAATTACCAACCTTTACAACTAATTCTTTATCTATATTTTCAACAGGATTCTATTGATATTATTCCCAAGCTTCTTCTTCATAATCTTCTAACATCAATCCCATAGGTTTTTCATAATTAATATTTCCTGTAATTGTATTTCTAAATCTTAATTTTCCAGTATCATCTTCTTTTTCCAATATCCATACTTTTCCTTCTGCAAAGAACCCCAATTAATCTGCTACTTTTGATTATTATTATTAATTTTCTCCTGTATACTCATTTTCAACAGCTTAATGATAATTATGTTCCTCTTTTTTTTACTTCTTATTTTTATATCCTTTAGATGTCTCTGGTATTGAATCATAAGCTTTATTTTATTATTTATGTTCAATTCTTGCCTTCTTATTTAAATCTCTTAAATGATATTCCTTGTTTTTTTTGTGTTTAGCTGTATTCTCATGATCTTGAATAGCAGCTCTAGTATAAGGTATTAACATCTTGCAAACTTCACACCATTTCTTTCTTTCATTCATTATTTATCAAAATTTATTTATACTTATTATAATAATAATCGTTTTTGCAATATAATAAGAATGCCTTAGCTCTTTTATTAGATTTAACTATCATTTGTCATATTGATATTATTCGCCATTCTTCCTTCTTTTGCTCAATAACACAATACTATTTAGTTTGGCGAAGCAATTACACTAACAAACAATTAAGATTTAATTGAATTGGAGAATGAAAAATAACAAAGGACTATCATAAAACCTTTAATAGATCCAAAAACATACAAATATATTGAATTGGAAAACAAGTTAAAAGTATTGCTTATACATGATCCAAACTCAGAAATTGCTTCTGCTGCACTTGATGTGCAAGTTGGATCTTGGAATGAACCAAGTGAATATCCAGGTTTAGCCCATTTTTGTGAACATATGTTGTTTGTTGGCTCTGTTAAATATCCTAGACCTGATTATTTTGATGAATTATTGGCAAAAGGATCTGGAAGTTCTAATGCATATACTGATGCTACCAACACTAATTATTATTTTGAAATTACATCATAATACTTAGATAAAGCTTTAGATACATTTGCTCACTTTTTTATTGATCCTCTTTTTAATGAAGATTTAGTAGAAAGAGAGAAAAATGCAGTGAATTCAGAATATGAAATTGATGTATCTTCAGAAGATTGGAAAATATAAAATTTATTTACATTATTTGCTGATCCTAAACATCCTGCAAGTAGATTCAGTCTAGGCAATAATGAAGTATTTGAAAAGTAGGGTATTGAGAATGAATTGAAATCCTTTTTTGAATAATATTATTCCTCAAATATAATGAGTTTGGTTATTTAGAGTAGAATTAGTTTGTAAGAAATGGAACAATTAATAAAACCTTTTAGTCGTATAAAAAATAAAAATCTATAGTCTCCACAATTTCCATCATTACCTTATTAATTTGGAATTCTATGTAAATATAAGACAGAAAAAGAATAATTAACATTAAATTGGCAATTAAAAGGAAGAGAGAAATTCATTCATTAAAAACCAATAGAATTTTTAGATTATATCATTTAAAATGGAAATTTAATAGATTATATGAAAGAGTAAAATTTAATTATTTCACTATCCTCTTAAGTTTTTATGGAAGAATCTTCGTTTACAAATTATATGATGGAAATCGTTTTAACTGAAAAATCTTAAGAAAACGAAGAAGCTGTTGCTGAAATTACTAAAATTATATTCAATTACATCTAAAAATTAGAAGTATGGTTATCAGATGATGATTACATTAACTAATTATTCAAAGAACAAAGCAAGATTTCTAAATTGAATTTCAACTATTTAACTTAATAATTGGATACTTCTACTATAGCAAAAATTTTAAACAGATAAAAACCAAAGGAAGTACTTTCCTCAGAATTCATTATTGATACTTTAGATAAGGAATTAATATTAAATTATATTGGATAATTAAAGAATACATAAAACTTAATCATTTTGATAGGCAATCATCAATATTCTTATACTGATGAAAAAGCAGATGCTATCAAGAGTAATAAAGAATTTTTATAAGATAAATTACTACATGAAAAGAATAATTTATATAGACTTGTATATTCTAAACAGAAATTTGATGAACATTTTATTAATTTTATATCTAAATAAGATGAAAAATTATAAGATATATTTGAAAAACCTTAATAAAATGAATTTATTCCAGATAATGTTGAATTAATTTCATTATGTGAATCATCAGAATCTAAATTACCTAAAATAGTTCATTCTGATAAATTAAAGACTTTAGATTAATAAAGTAAATTAAATTTATTTTTGATGGCTGGTTAAGATCTTCATTAATATAGTGATGAGTAATGTTCATTAGAAGAACATAAATATTAAAAATAAAATCATTATCCAATTTTACTTAACAAAGAATAGTAAGAATGGTGGAAGAGTTAAACTTCTTATAAATTACCTTTTATTTTTGGAGCTTTATAAATGAAATATCAAAAAACTTTAAGTTTAAGATAATTCACTTCATTAAGACTCTATAATTTTATGGCAAATGAAATCTTATCAAAGGAATTAAAATTACCTTTATCTTCTGGATATTCTTATGAATTAGATATGAATAAAAAGACTCAAATAAAAGTTTATGGATTCAGTGAACATGTAAGAAATCTATTTAAGAAACTATGTTCATGTTTAAATCCATTTAGAGATAAATCCAAAAGTTTCCTTGAACTTAATGAATCCAAAAGATTTGAAATAGCCAAATAATCATTGTTATTGTCAATTAAGAATATGTATTAAGATAATTTATTTGAATAAGCTATGTAAATTTATTTGCCTTAGATATTATAAAAAGATTCTCATAATCCTACTAAAGTGATAGATTAGATTAATTTAATTACATAATAAGAAATGCTTTAAGATGTTAAAGACATTATGAATAATGTAAAATATTCAAGTTTACTTATTGGTAATATTGATTAATCTGATGCATCTAAAATATCAGATGAAATTCAATCATGTTCTACTAATAAAGAAACTTCATCTGCTTAGGATAATCTTTAAGAGAAGGTAGCAATTATAAATTTAAAAGGAAAACACATTATTGATTCTAGATTTATACAATCAGGTAATGATGATGACATTAATGGTGTTACCTTAAATTATTATTAAATTGGATAAAGAAAGTAAATGAATTAGGCATTTATGAAATTATTAGAACCAATTCTAAATTAATAAGCCTATAATTACTTACGCACTGATTTATAATTAGGGTATGTCGTAGCAGTTGAATTTAAAACAACAGCCTGTGTTGATGGAGCTTTGATATTAGTCTAAGGAAGTACAGAAATACCAATGAAAGTGAATCAAATAATTAATGATTTCTTAGATTAATTTTCAGTCTATTTAGAATAAATGAATAATAGAGGATTCCAACATCTTAAACATGGAGTAATCACTGAATTAAAAGAAAATCCTTAAAGTTTGAGTGAAGAAGGTGATCGTTTATGGAAGTATATCAGTGCTGGAACTATTGAATTTGAAGATAGATAAGTTGCAATTGAAGAAATAAGAAAAATATCAAAACAAGAATTAATTGAATTTTATAAAAATTCATTTATTAACAGCAAATCAAAATTAAGTTTACAATTATATGGGTATTAATTACTATTATTTCTATTAGTTAAGGTATGGTAACATAAATGATGAACTTAGAGACCTAGTCTGAGTTTAATGAATTTATATCTAATACAAAGCCTAAAGATGCTGAATTGTTTGATCCTCTTTAAGCATCTTATTATTAATGTGAGTTTGAAGCTACTTAAATTTGAGTAATTTGATATTTACAAATAAATTTAATCTACTCAGAATTTTTTTAATATTTATTATTTATATTGATATAATATATGTTACAACATGATAACTCATCAATATGATCATAGCTTTATATTATTAAATGAAAATAGTTATTAATTATTAACTATTTTCTATTCATCAGTATTTTTAAACAGATTATAATTTATCAAATTTTTCAATTAATAATCAAAAATATTATGGATTAGCTTCTTAATATCAAATATAATACTAGGTCATTACTATTCAAATCGTCTCCATGTTCAAAATAATCTTTCTAAAGTGAAGATGATAGGGATACAGCACTTTCATCTGACTTCACTCCTAAACCCAAGCCAAAACCTTTATAAGGTTTAAATCCCATGGCATCTCCATTTGACAATGAAGATAGTGACAAAAGCAGTTAGAAAGGGGAATCAGTTCCAAAAACATTTAGTATTTATATTGATTTGAATATTAGTTCCAAAACTTTCACGTTTTAGTACTCAAAGAGTAATAACCATGAATGAAGGTGATAAAGATGAAGAACCAGAAGTTATAGAAAAAGAAATTAAATAATGTTCTAATATCTAATTACTATAACCAGATGATTAAAATAAAACAATAGAAGAACAACTTAGAAAAATTGAAGAGAAAATAAAAGTAAACCCAAAGTTAAAATAAATTAAATCTAAACCTATGTCAATGAGAAGTTTTAAAAACTTTGAATAATCAAAAGAGGATAAGTTAATGGACCATCCATTTCGTCATTTGATATTCAGTCCAAAAATAGATGAGTTAGTTTTCGAAAAACATTTAATTGTAACTTAAAGAGGTTTAATTTATTCGAGAAAATGTCTTAAAGGGCCTTCAGAATAATTTTTAGAAAAGAAAAAAGTAATTTTAAATAAAATCAACCCAAATAAAGTAAACACAATATTTCTTGATCTTGACGAAACTTTGATTCATGCTTGTAATTCAAGAGAAACACCTTCCGTTAAGTTGAAATAATAAAATGAAGATGGATCTGAAATAGAGGTAAATATATAACTTAAATTAGGTGGGAATAAATGTAAGACCATACACAAATTACTTTTTACAAGAATTGGCTTAATTTTATACAATCTATATTTATACAGCTTCATCTTAATAGTATGCTTAAACAATAGTAAATTATCTTGATCCTCTAAAATAATATATAAGTGGAATCTTATCTAGATCTAATTGTATGGAAACAAAAAATGGATTTTTCATAAAAGACTTAAGAATCATAAAGGATTTAGATTTAAATAGAACTCTAATAATAGACAACCTGGTTCATTCTTTCGGTTTACAGGTTGAAAATGGAATTCCAATTTTAGAGTGGCATGAAAATTAAGAAGATTTAGAACTCAAATATTTATTAGAATATTTGATAGAGGCTTCTGAAAAATAAAATTTGAAGGACTTCAATATAGCTCATTTGTAATTAGATAATTTATTAGATTATGTCATCAAGTAATGAAATTTATATCTTCATTTATAATCCTTCAAACTCGACATAAATATATGAATCAAAAATTCATCTAAATTTATATAAATGTGATAATTATTTAGATTCTCCTTATGTTCTTAATTCAATTTCCTCAATTTTGAAATCTTTAATAGAGCTGTCCTATGATAAATTACAAACATACTTGAGTAATAAAATCATAAGGGATGACTTCATCTTTAGTGTTAAATATGTACATCATTCCTTGATCTTTTTTTGCTGCAAATATTAAATGACCTTAATCAAAGAGACTTTAAGTTTATAAATTGGTAGGTTGATTAATTGAAAGAATGAAATATCTCTTATTAGGAGTTACTACAGTCATTCGAAATAAAGGAATAAGCAAATTCTTCATATTTAATTTAAATATTGAATTGGTTTTATTTAATGTCTAGAAATTTTATGTGAAAAACTTAAATAAGTTTAATATATTAGGAAGTATTTTAAATCATAATAATTATTGGAAAAGAGAAAGTTTAAAAAAATTTGGAAATAAAATGAATGAAAGAATGATTTCAAAAAAATTTTTAATCTTTTATATTTTATTTAAATAAAAAATGGGTAGAAGACCAGCAAGATGCTATAGAGTTAGTAATGGTAAACCATTCCCCAAGTCCAGATATAACAGAGGTGTTCCAGATGCTAAAATTAAGATCTATGATGTAGGAAAAAAGAAGGCTAATGTTGAGGAATTCCCAGTATTTAATAATTAATATGAATTAGGCTGTCATCCACATTGTTTCAGATGAAAAGGAATAAATTTCATCAGAAGCCTTAGAAGCATGCAGAGTTGCCATCAATAAATACATGATTAAGAAAGTCGGAAAAGATGCATTCCATCTTAGATGCAGAGTTCATCCATGGCACGTACTCAGAATCAATAAAATGCTTTCATGTGCTGGTGCAGATAGACTTTAAACTGGTATGAGAGGAGCCTTTGGTAAACCAAATGGTTTATGTGCCAGAGTTAAAATTGGTAGCATTCTCTACTCTTTGAGATGCAAAGATGCTTCAATCAATCATGCTATGGAAGCATTGAGAAGAGGAAAGAATAAGTTCCCAGGAAGATAAAAGATTGTTGTCTCAGCCAAATGGGGTTTCACTAACTATTTCAGATCTGACTATCTCAAATATAAAGCTAATGTATTTAAATAATATAATATTTTAGGATGAATTATAATACTATGGTGTTCATGTTTAAAAATTGAGATAACATGGTCCATTGGAAAAATTGAAGATTTTCTAAGCCTTAAGAAAATGATTTGTTTAGAATAATCAAATAATAAATATATTAAATTATTTTTTTTGTATAATGTCCTGTTTGCAATTTCAAAATCCAAATATTGCAAAAAGTAATAATGGTATCATTATTAATTAAGAAAACTCAGGATCGTCTTCTATGATTAATTTTCGGGATTTAAATGTAATCTAAGTACCACTTAAATTACCCACTGCCAATTTAGGAGTATTATCTTCATCAAGAACTCTTCTCCTTCTACTAGTAGCTCCATTAGGATTTATAATTTTAGCCGTAACAGCAAAACCATTACCTTTTTCTCCAGCTACTCCCAGTCTAACAGTGTATATTATTTAACCTTCACCTACAACTGTTTCCAAAATAGGTAAATTGACTAGAGTTCCTTTTCCCTATAATTTTACATAACCTTATTCTAATTTCCAATTCTTAAGATTTTAATCTAAAATTGTCAACCTAACCTTAAATCTTTGATTAAGGACTAAAGTTATTTTTTCCGTTGTCCATTAGCAATCATTTGCATTTTCACAATAATCAAGTTGTGATGTAATAGGAATAGCTAATGCAGGTGGATTGATAGTTTTAGGTGGTACTTACAAACTTGTTATACTTGATTAAGAATAATCAATTGTAGCAGTCCAGTTTCTTTCATACATAATTTGTTCATTAAAATGTACATTAAAGTGGAAAGAGCATGTATAGATATTAGTATTTTCACCTTATTTACAGTTAGCAGTTGTCATATTAAATTAATCTAAGATTAATCTGGCTGTGGATGCTGATTCATGGAAGAATTTTAATTCTGTAAATTTGCCATCATTCATATCTAATGTTACCCATTAAGCTGGCCAACATCCTTGAAAATCATAATCAGGTATTTTAATTGTAGCTGAATAAGAAGTTGCTGTAGCACTTTCTACCAAGGAATCTTTATCATAAGGTATTGATTGCTCTAAACTATCCCCACAATCCTTTTTATAACATGTACCTTCAAGCCATCTATAAGGTTCTGAACAACTTGTGCAATCATAAAAAGATGTGCATTTATCACATTAGGCTGTACAATTCTTATTGTAATAAACAAGTATTTTAGTAATATAATATGCTCCTTCTGGATTTTCAGTCACAAAATCTTAAAATACCAAAGACATTAAAGATTAATTCTTAGTTTTTAAAGTTGAAGATGGAATTGTATATTTAATCTATAAATATTTATATTTAAAATTACTGTTTTCCAATCATTAAGTAGGTCTTATATCAATACAGATTCATCATTAGGGCATAAGTAGGCAGGATCAGTTTTTTAAGATGTTTAATTAAAAAAGTCGCTGTAATACGAGTATCCTGAAGCGAACCAACAATATCCACTTTTCTTATCATCAGTATTATCTGTATAACCAACAAATAATCCTGAACGAACACCTCTATTAGGTGTAGATTTTGTTAAATATTTAAATTCTATTGTTACATCCTATTCCATCTCAATCTCAAAAGGCATAGTTTGTAGTCCACCTCCTATAGACTACTTGGCAATATTAACACAATAGTCATTTGTTGTTCCAGGACAGGGAACTGTTTTTGCAACATCATATTTTTCCCATAAGGTTGTGCTAATTTCACCACCATTAAAATCATCTTAAAAGATAATGTGTTGAGCATATGACAACGAGGTCAAGATTAATATTAGCATTTATATAAATAATAATTATGAAATCTAATAATTTTCTTATTCTGATTTAAACAACAAGATTTAAGACATCATTTATTCTATTTGAAAGTATTGATTTCAGCTTTAAATACTAACATCCATTGGCTTTTTTATTAGAAAATGAAATTATTGAATTCAATATATCCCCTAAAAAATCATCCATTATCTATTGTTAAAAGTACTAAATCAAAAATAATTAAAAAAATCAAACTCAATATAGACTTTAATTCTATTTAATCCATTAATTAATCTTTCAATAGATATGCATTTAATCAATTACATATGAAATCAATTAGTAATACAACGAATAAAAAAGCCTTTTATCTTTAAATTAAATTTCTCCACATGAAGATCTATATATTCAAATATCATTAACAAAAATATGTATTATATAAATCAATAATCACAATAATCACATGTTTATCAATCTAAAAACAATAAAGAGTTCATTAATAATTGTAATCTTGGTTGCAATATAGTATCAATTCTAAACTTGATTCTCACATGTAGTTAAAGGGGATATTCATTATTAAAACACTTATTATATAATCATTTTTGAATTAGAAACAAAATTAAGTATAGAACAAGTTGTTCAATTTTTATTAATAAAGTAAGTTTATATTAATTTAAATGAGTCTCAGTTCTTATGAAATCGAGCTACCCGTGAATAAGGAATCACCTTATTAATAACTATATAGAGGGAGACATGATAATGACTTAATTTATATGTTACACATATTTCCGAAGCAAACATTAACTTCATAAATGTAGCAATAGATTTTTGAAAGGGCAGAAGAATTCAATTTTATATTTGAAAAACTGGATTTCGAGGATTTTATTTTAATATCCTATAAGGATAGTACTTTATGGACAAACTTAGAATAAAAAGTTAAAACAGAATCCCTAAAATCCTTCTATCTTAAATTATACTCATAATACTCGAAACTTAAAGGAATAATAGATTTTGATTAAGATTTTGTTTTTGTAAAAGAAGATGAAGTTTTTATTATTGATTATGGAATTAATCAACATGTAATGAAAAAGCATAAAGATCTAGAATATACTACAAAAACTAAATCTTATCTTTTTGGTTAACTAATTTTTAACCTCTTATGTAATCGAGATATTAGTGATAGATTATTATAGTGCACAGAACAATATTAAATAGATGCCATTATTCATTAAGCTGCTGAAAATTAAAAAATCAATAATGAAATTTTAGAATGCTTATTAAAACTGCTCAAATTAGATCCTAATTAAAGGCCCACTTTTGAAGAAGTTGGATAATGGAAATTGTTCTTTTCAAAAAAAGATATTTCAAAAGTTGCATCAAGTGTACTTGATTTCTCAAATATGAAAATTGGCACATAAACAAGTCGTTAAAATTAAACTTAAAGATCAGCAAGACCATAATCTTATGATTAGAAAGTTTTGAATACTGCACATAATCAATCAGTCAAAGCTGCAATCTAAAAATAAAGAAGATAAGTTCCATCAACAAATAAAGTATGCTCTTCTTATGTATTTGCATCTTAAATAATTACTAACAATATGAAAAATAAAAAGATTTAATAAAACTTTACTAACCTTGTATCAACTCAATAATCATTTTTTTAATAAACTGGTTAACATTTATACACTTCTGAAATGAATTAGAGTTAATATCCAAAAACTTAAAACCATTTTTTTGCAAAATAGCCTGAATAATACTAATAAACATCTTAAAAAAGTTTTAAGGAATCTAATAATAGTAATAATTAATAATTTTAATAACCATAATAATAATAATAACAAAGAATAGAAAAGAAGTCTCCATTTTTATTTGATGGATCGTAACCCCCAATATTGAGTATTACTAAGCCCTAAAATCCATAATCTGTTGGTGGCTAAAATCGTAATTTGAATTAAGAGGCTAACTTTTTTACTAACAATAATTCAAATCCCTCAAATTATACTTCTCCTAAATAAAATATCTATTAAAACTAAAACACATAATAACAATAATAATAATAATAATAACAATAATAATAATAATAATAATAATAATAATAATAATAATAATAATAATAATAATAATAATAATAATCTATTTCCAGTAATCCTCAAAAATAAATTCAATTTTAATAATAATAATAACAATAAGTTGTAGAAGATAATTAAAGTTTTCATTTCAAATCACTTCCATCAGAGGCATCTAGTTAAAATTAAAAATCATAAAAAGATGAAAAATAATAACCAAAGTTGAAAACGCCCTTTTAATTAGCATAAAATACTAATGAAGATGAAGTTGATGACATTAAATTACAAAAAATTAATAGTGTAAATTAGAATTATAATAAAGATTAAACTTAAAATAATGAGAAAGATAAAAAGTAAGAATTTTTCAAAAAACCATAACAGGAAAATAAATTAACTTCAAATTCAACATTTTCAAAAAAAGAAGAAGATTAAGTTATTGATACATATCCAATGAACAATTTATAGAATTAAAAAGCCTAATCTATCAATGATATTGAAGAACCACCTATTATAAGACCAAATAAATCACTCCAATAAGAAGTCCCAAAATAATAGAAACCTACTATTTAGACTACTCAAAATCCAAAAGTTAATTAAGTAGATCTAAATTAAATTTTTAATGAATATGTGTAGAAGTAAAATGTTATGATTAATAAGATATTATTCGTATTTAGCGATTATTTAATATATAACAATTGCAGTAGCAGATTTAAATGAAAAACTTAGCATCCATGGATAAATTTGGATTGTACCATTATGCATTGTTTTTAAAGTAATTTTTTTGAGGACTAAATTTTAGAGAGCATATGAAATTAGAAAAATAATTGAAAAAGATATAGAGAAATAAAAAAATATTTTTGAACTAAAAGATTTTGTTAAATTTAAATCTTCATCTTAGTACGCACAGTTATTATAAAATGTTACAAAGTAGAATAATGTGATGGAAAAAGAGTTTACAGAGATGTTAGAGGCTGCATAAAAGAATCTAACTAAATTGGACGCAAATTCTTAGTAAAAAATGGCAGCCCTTCTTAACTTAGATATCAAGAAATCTATCAAAGAATAGGCTGAAAAATATCTATATACTCAAATTTACCCAAGAGTAAAGTCAGCTATAGGAAAATTAAGAGCAAAAACATTAACAAATAATAAATTTTCAGAATTAGATTGGATGCAAACAAGATTATTGAGTTTGTATTCAATTTTAATAATGGAATTAGATTTATACTAATGTGAATCCACTCTTTTTAATGAAGCAACTCTTATGAAATATAGAAAAACGTAAAATATTGATGAAATTGAATAAGTTTGCAATTAAATAGAAAATACGATCAAGGAACTTCCAATATTCATAAAATGATTATAATATTGTTGTCAAATCATTTATTATGTAACTTACGATTAATCCCTTATTCTTTAAATCTAACTTGTTTTTTCATAGGAGAGTTAGTCTCAATATCAGAATCTTTTCTCTTTAAAATTGAAGTAGGAGTATGAGTTCTCAATTTTGTTGGACTATAGCTCTCAATTCCTATTATATAGTTGTGATCATCACGTATATCACTTATTTTTCTTCTCATTAATTTTGGTTTTTCTTTTTATATAGGTGCGTCAGAATATTTTCTTCTTGGTTTTGAATCTTATTATAGAGTAATTTGTTTAGAATATTCTATGCTCTTCTTTTTTTTGATTTCAACCTTTGCACTAGAATAAAAAGGAGAATGCGAACGACATTTTATTTATTAGGGTTCTTTTGGACTTGGTGATTAGAAGTTAGGAGTTTAAACTTGATTCTATTTATTTTTACGTTTAAGAGAAGATTTCAATGCCATAAGAGGTTTTGATTTTTGCTTCTATTAGTTGATAGAGTTATTTTCTTGTTCATTCTCTTTTTCAATATTAAATTATGACAAAAATAGACTTTCTTCAGAAGGAACTCTAACTAATGATTTTATTTCATTTTAATTTGGAATGAAAGGCTTGGTAGGAGACTGAAGCATAGCATTAGGTATTTCCATTTGAGTTAATTAGCTTGTGTTTATTAAACTATCTAATTTAGGTTTGGACATTCTGTTCAAATTGCTTTTAGAATTTAGTTAATCAAATTGAGTTTTATCGCTCATTTATTATTTATAAGAGCAATTATTTCCCATTTATGATTTTTTAATAATAATAATTTATTGATTTTTGTAAATTTTGTCGCATAATTGCTCTAACTTAAATATATTGTATAAATCTGAGTTTTTTAGATTTCAATGATATATAAAAATCCTGTTTTTCATAAACTTTTTTCCAACAAATTCTTTCTTTCTTTTGCATTTAAATGTTAATAAGATAATAATAATTACATAATTATATAAATTTATGTAATAAAAAGAGTCTAAAATTTAAGATTTTTAAACAAATAGATATTTTAAGAAATAGTATAAATAAACTTATCAAAAAGAAATTAAAAATATCTTATTTTTTGTTTGATAGTTTAATAGATTAATTTAGATTTCTATAATAGCACTCTTAATTCTACGGTATTTTATGAGGATTATATTATATAATAAACCTATTAAATAGTTTTTCTGGTCATCCTTTTGCCCTGCAAAATAAATACTTAGTTTTCAATGGAAAAACCTAATTTTTATGTTATAATCTCTTGATCTAATATTTATTGATTTAAATATTAATTAGAAATTGAATAAATTGATTAAGAAATCATTTTATTAGTTGAATAACAAAATTAGAATAATTATAAAAAGTTTGTTTTTTATAATATGAAATTCTGAAATCTTGAATTCATAATTTATTTATTTTTGCAATACTAGTATTTATTAAAACTTTAATGATCTACTTTTTCATCAAGATCTTGTTTCCTAAAAATTTTGCCAGTATAATTAAAATTTTTTATGTTTTAGGATTAAATTTCTCTGAAATATATGTCAAATATTTAGTCCAATCAACAAATTTTAACTTTTTGATTAGCAACTTAAATATTAGATAACAGTAGAAAGATTAAAATAAAATGAAACATATACCTATACTCCAATACAATATTTAAATAAATTCTGCACAATCAATAGTTATAATTTAATTAATAAAATGCCAAAAATTGAAAATACTACAGGAATGCCAATTAATTTGATTATAGATGAATTAAAAAGTGATGATATCAGAAAAAGAATTCATTCAGTCAAAAATTTAGATTTGATTGCAAGTACTATAGGTCCTGAGAGAACTAAAAATGAATTAATTCCTTTCATTTAAGGTATACTCAAATATCATTTAGAATTGTTGGATGATGATGATGAAGTCTTGATTGAATTAGTTGAATCTCTATCTAAGAATTTTATTGAGCTTGTTGGTGGATAAGCATAAGTTTTACTACCTACCTTCGAAGCATTATGTAAAGTGGAAGATGCTTCAGTAAGGGAAAAAGTAATAAATGCTTAATATCGAGGCTGCTAATCAATTAAAGAAATGTTTTACATTATTGCCTGATTAAAAAAAGATTGAAGAATTATCAATGGGGATTATAAAAAGATTGAATGATAGTGATTATTATTTGGCCAAGAATGCTGTTGTAATATTGGTGCCAGCAATTATTAATTAAGTATCATAGAACAATTAGAATGATTTGATTAACATTATACTTAAAATTTCTTAAGATCAAATTCCATAAGTTAGAAAATTTTCATCAATGTATTTTTAAGTATTTTTTAACTTAATTGTAGGATTTAGTAAAACATTTTCCAATAGTAAATGAAACTTTGATTTAAAATACATTAAATTCATTCATAAAAGATGAATAAGATTTTATTAGAATGTATATAGTTGATGCATTGATTGCCTCAAGTAAAACTGCATTTTTTTAAAAACAATAAACTTTTGTTCTTAATATGTTTAAATAATTGGCAGAAGATCAATCTTGGAGAGTGAGATATTACTTCTGTGATAAATTAGCTGATGTATTCAAAAATATTAATTTAATTAGATTGGAGATTCAGTGGGGAAAGATAGTTATCGAAAAAACTTTTAAAATTACCATCTAAAGTTTTTATAAGATAGTGAGCCTGAGATGAAGTCTATAGCAGCATTAAAAATAGAAAAAGTAAGTTCTTTTATGGACTCAGAAGAAATTATGAATAAATTGATTCCACTCTTGAAATCAATTTAATAGGATTAAAACCCATTTGTTAGAAGTATATTTTGGTTTATAACATACATTTAGATTCCTTAGCTTCTTCTGTATTATCATTATCACCGATTATTGGTAAGAAAAATTCAAGTGAATAAATTTTACCAATTTTCTTAACTTTATTAAAAGATTAAGATTCTGAAGTTAGAATTACATTATTCAAAAAATTAAGTCTAATCACAAGTGTATTAGGAGTTGATTCTTTATCTTAAAGTGTTATACCAGCCTTGACAGAATTAGCTTAAGATAAAAATTGGAGAATTCGAGCATCTACAATAGAAGTTCTTAGCTTCTTTGCCAGAGCAATAGGTCCAGAATTTTTATCAGATAAAGTTCTTAAGTTACTTATAGATTGGCTTGGTGATAAAGTTTATGCTGTCAGACAAACAGCAATTTAATAAACTGCTTTATTGATATAAATTCTTGGTATTCCATGGGCTGATAGAAATTTGTTAACTAAAATTTGGGGTTTTTAATCTATACAAAATTATCTTCAAAGACTAACAGTACTATTTACAATAACTGTATAATTAATGTTATATTATAATTTAGCAAATAGCATCTTCATTAAATAATGATTACATATTGAAAACAATTCTTCCTCTTTTATAATAAATGTCAAAGGACTCAGTTGCTAATATCAGAAGCAATGTTTGCAAGACATCTATTTTATTAGCAAAAGAGAAAGGGGGAAATGTAGTTGAGCCATTGAAAAAAGTTTTATAATCTCTTTGTGATGATTAAGATGCAGAGGTTAAATACTAGGCAAAAAGTGCATTAGAATCATTATGAATACAATAATAATGATTAATATATTAAATAAATAATTTCATCTTTGCAGATTTTAAATATTTAGATAGAATGACAAAATATTGTTATTTTTTATGTATTTAATATTGTATGATTCATTATCAATATTATTTTTGAATACTGCTGCTTCCAACGGTTGATCTTGTTACAGTTCTCTTTTCAACAACTACTTCCTAATTATAATTAATATTATAAATATACTTTCTTTTATTATTTCTGAAGAGCTTCTAATTCTGCTTATGCCATCATCAATTATTCTTAACATTCATTATAATCATGATTAATCTTAATGAATTTCTATTTCCAAACTTCAATTTCAGAACTTAAGAAAGTAACCTTTTCTTAGACAACAGTAGTTCCTTATTCTTCCAAATATTAAATTCTTAAATGTAAATCATCAATTTCATGATCTTTATTAGCTAACATTTATCTTAATTTTTCAATTTCAGTTTTCAATCTTAAAATTTCTTACTCTAAATCACTTATTTAAAATCTATATTAATTAAGTTTTGAACTATATTCTTTATCATTAAGAGCTAATTAATTTCTTAGATCTTCACATTCAGTAGTTCTTTAATATAATAAACTCTTCAAATTATTTACTTCCATTTCTAATTCTCTAATTCTTGATTAAGCATCTCTACTTTCACTAGCTGCTGATCTTAATTCTAGTGAAGTAATTCTATATTTTTCTAATTCATTATCCTTTTATTATATAATTAATTTAAGAGAACTTAATTCCATTGATAATTTACTATTTGCATCTTATAAATCCTAAATTTAATCTCTTAACATAGCTAATTCTTAATCTTTACTTCTGCATTGATTCTTCCAATTTTAAAGTTCTGNAGCATCTTCATTAAATAATGATTACATATTGAAAACAATTCTTCCTCTTTTATAATAAATGTCAAAGGACTCAGTTGCTAATATCAGAAGCAATGTTTGCAAGACATCTATTTTATTAGCAAAAGAGAAAGGGGGAAATGTAGTTGAGCCATTGAAAAAAGTTTTATAATCTCTTTGTGATGATTAAGATGCAGAGGTTAAATATTAGGCAAAAAGTGCTTTAGAATCATTATGAATTCAATAATAATGATTAATATATTAAATAAATAATTTCATCTTTTGCAGATTTAAATATTTAGATAGAATGACAAAATATTGTTATTTTTATGTATTTAATATTGTATGATTCATTATCAATATTATTTTTGAATACTACTGCTTCCAACAGTTGATCTTGTTACAGTTCTCTTTTCAACAACTACTTCCTAATTATAATTAATATTATAAATATACTTTCTTTGATTATTTCTAAAGAGCTTCTAATTCTGCTTATGCCATCATCAATTATTCTTAACATTCATTATAATCATGATTAATCTTAATGAATTTCTATTTCCAAACTTCAATTTCAGAACTTAAGAAAGTAACCTTTTCTTAGACAACAGTAGTTCCTTATTCTTCCAAATATTAAATTCTTAAATGTAAATCATCAATTTCATGATCTTTATTAGCTAACATTTATCTTAATTTTTCAATTTCAGTTTTCAATCTTAAAATTTCTTACTCTAAATCACTTATTTAAAATCTATATTAATTAAGTTTTGAACTATATTCTTTATCATTAAGAGCTAATTAATTTCTTAGATCTTCACATTCAGTAGTTCTTTAATATAATAAACTCTTCAAATTATTTACTTCCATTTCTAATTCTCTAATTCTTGATTAAGCATCTCTACTTTCACTAGCTGCTGATCTTAATTCTAGTGAAGTAATTCTATATTTTTCTAATTCATTATCCTTTTATTATATAATTAATTTAAGAGAACTTAATTCCATTGATAATTTACTATTTGCATCTTATAAATCCTAAATTTAATCTCTTAACATAGCTAATTCTTAATCTTTACTTCTGCATTGATTCTTCCAATTTTAAAGTTCTGTTTCTAATTATTTATATCTTGATTCACTAGAACTTGAACTAGTTTTTATGAGTAATAGTTCTTAATCTTTTTGTTTTAATTAAGAATTCAAATTTGCATTTTACATCTACAATTCAGAAATTTATCTTCTCAAATCACTTACATCTTATTANTTATATTATAATTTAGCAAATAGCATCTTCATTAAATAATGATTACATATTGAAAACAATTCTTCCTCTTTTATAATAAATGTCAAAGGACTCAGTTGCTAATATCAGAAGCAATGTTTGCAAGACATCTATTTTATTAGCAAAAGAGAAAGGGGGAAATGTAGTTGAGCCATTGAAAAAAGTTTTATAATCTCTTTGTGATGATTAAGATGCAGAGGTTAAATATTAGGCAAAAAGTGCTTTAGAATCATTATGAATTCAATAATAATGATTAATATATTAAATAAATAATTTCATCTTTTGCAGATTTAAATATTTAGATAGAATGACAAAATATTGTTATTTTTATGTATTTAATATTGTATGATTCATTATCAATATTATTTTTGAATACTACTGCTTCCAACAGTTGATCTTGTTACAGTTCTCTTTTCAACAACTACTTCCTAATTATAATTAATATTATAAATATACTTTCTTTGATTATTTCTAAAGAGCTTCTAATTCTGCTTATGCCATCATCAATTATTCTTAACATTCATTATAATCATGATTAATCTTAATGAATTTCTATTTCCAAACTTCAATTTCAGAACTTAAGAAAGTAACCTTTTCTTAGACAACAGTAGTTCCTTATTCTTCCAAATATTAAATTCTTAAATGTAAATCATCAATTTCATGATCTTTATTAGCTAACATTTATCTTAATTTTTCAATTTCAGTTTTCAATCTTAAAATTTCTTACTCTAAATCACTTATTTAAAATCTATATTAATTAAGTTTTGAACTATATTCTTTATCATTAAGAGCTAATTAATTTCTTAGATCTTCACATTCAGTAGTTCTTTAATATAATAAACTCTTCAAATTATTTACTTCCATTTCTAATTCTCTAATTCTTGATTAAGCATCTCTACTTTCACTAGCTGCTGATCTTAATTCTAGTGAAGTAATTCTATATTTTTCTAATTCATTATCCTTTTATTATATAATTAATTTAAGAGAACTTAATTCCATTGATAATTTACTATTTGCATCTTATAAATCCTAAATTTAATCTCTTAACATAGCTAATTCTTAATCTTTACTTCTGCATTGATTCTTCCAATTTTAAAGTTCTGTTTCTAATTATTTATATCTTGATTCACTAGAACTTGAACTAGTTTTTATGAGTAATAGTTCTTAATCTTTTTGTTTTAATTAAGAATTCAAATTTGCATTTTACATCTACAATTCAGAAATTTATCTTCTCAAATCACTTACATCTTATTAATTACTTAATCTTAATCTATTCAATTCATTTTCTAATTAAGTAATAGATTCAGTATCTTTAACAATCTTTTCCTTTTCAATTACTTTCTCAACTATCTTTGTTTCTAATTATCTAGATTCAAGTTCAGTAATAACTGATTAAAGATACTCACATTCCAGTCTCCATGGAGCTTCTATTTCTTCTCTATTTACTACTACAATTTGCATATGTAATGGTGATGCCTAACAAGGATTGCATGGCTAATATTTTAATAGATAAACTTTACATTTATAGTGGGATAATTTGTAACTTATGCTGTTACAAAATTATTAGGAAATTGAACTCCTTGTTGATTAAATGCTTAATTTCTTCCATCAAATACAAATTCTTCTTATTATACTTATTGACCAACATAAGGACCCTATAATAATTAATTCATCCATATTTTACTTATTACACTCCACTTGTGTATACGAATTACTAAGAAATAGGTCTTGTTTATTAATATTCATTTCTTAATGTCTCTTATTGATCGATTCTTTATTAATTCAACATTAGATATTAAATTATTAATTTTTATTTACCTTAATTTTATTTTATATTTCTAATATAAATTGTGTAAATCAGTGTAATTCAATCAAAGCAATTATAATATTTAGAATCATTATAAAATATGAAATCAGAAGCATTAGAAAAAGAATTTCTGTTATACTATTTCTATATTAATCCAAAATTCATTAAAATAAATTATATTAATTTAATAACTAAAGAAATAGAGGTTATCTATAAAAATGAAACATTTTAATATGTGAGTGCAAAATCATTACTTATGGTTCTTAAGCTTATTCAATGGATTTTGTAATTTTGCCTGATAAAATTTGCTTCGAATTATATAAGTATTAAATATTATAATCATTGCTTAATTCTAATTTGTTCTAATAATTAAATTTATTTGATTAAGTCCTACTTTTCATTTATGTGTTTTTGTAATTCGTCCTTATAGGATTTTAATAATATTGAGGATCTTTGTATGATATTTTATAATTGGGAAATCGTTTATCTCTCTTTTTCTCTATTAGAAGTAACATTAATAGAATCAAAAGATTTTTTTTGCATTAGATCTTTTATATTGTTTCTCATCCTTGGCTTAATGCTACTTGATGTTGTGGAATTTAAGGAAGGAGTGCGAATGTCTGGTTTGAAAAGTAATTGTGATGATAATTAATTTGGAGTAGGAGCATATCCATTCAAATATTGTTAAGAAAAACTATCTTAGATTTAGAGTTATTATTAAGATTTTTATTGAACTAATTTTGAATATGGACTTGATTTTAACAACTATTGTAAACCTTGCGTTATAGCCTACTTTTTGTGATTTTGTTTAACTGTAATAGGAGTTATTAAATCCACTTAAGAATGATTTATCCTTCTATGGAGTGTAGTTTATATATTATTTCGTATCTCTGGACTGATTGTAGATTTGCGTTATTAATCTAAATATGGTTATTCTGCTTTTAGTAAAGAGTTCATTATAATTAAAATATATTTAATAAAGCTTAAATCTCTAGTATAGATTATTTTATATTTTTATAAAAATATCAATGATTCTAATATATAATGAAAGAGAATTAAAGATTTTATTCATGTATATTAATAACAAATCCTTAAAGATTATTATTGCTTTTATTTAATTATCATTATAATATTCTTGTAGTTATATTTAATTATCATTAATTAATATTCATGATATATTAACAATCCTAAGTTCAAAAATATTATATATAAATTTTCAATATTATATTAAAAACATATGCCTCGCTCAAGTAAAGTATCAAATCGATCCTTTTCTCATGGTAAATAAGGATAATTAAATGAACCAATTATTATTACATTATAAAGAGAGATTGATAATTACACTAGAAAAGTAGAAATTGAAAGAAGGTTTCATTTAACAGATACATTATTTTAGAAAACTCTTTAATTTAGAACAATAACATAGATAGTTACATGATGAAGTTAAAAATAAAGTATAATCTGTAAAAAAATTGAAAATGGATTCAATAAAAAAGGTTTTGAATAAAGATCAGGCAGAATCTAAAAGTCTATAATTTTAAATTGATTAAGTAATTCATTAAGCTAAATTTAGTTTGACAAAAAATTGTGTAAATCAGTGGCAAATATTGATATTATGAAATCTAATATTGATATAATAAGAAAAGAACGCAATCAATTATTATAAGCAATGAAGGAAATTGAGTAGTCTCATGAGTAAATTCATAATAGATTAATATCAACATAATCATAGGCATAAAGAAAGGTTCATGATGCTTGTAATAATTAGAATTATTGTTAGAAATTACTTAATAATAAATGTTTGATTTGAAAACTAAGAATGAAATTGATAAAAATGATTTTTAAGAAAAATTTGATAAATTAAAAGCTGAATTAAAAGATAAATAAGAAAAATAAAATGAGAAAGACAAAATATCAAAAACTAATAGACTCAAAGCAACAAATTATTCTACTTTTGATACAGGAACATTATTAAAAAGAAGATTATAAAGAATTATAGCTAACAATAAAGAAAAAGTTAAAATGATTGATACTTATTAAAGAAATATGAGAATTGTAGATGAAGCATTTAATTAAATTAAAGAAGCAACTGGATTAACTGATATAGAAGAAATTAAAAATAATTTTATTAAAAGTGAAGAATAAAACTATTCATTATGGACATATGTAGATGTACTAAACTAAGAAATAGATGCTCTAGAAGATACTAATGAAGAACTTAAAGAAAAATGTGAAATATAAGAAAAAGAAAAAATTGAAAGATAAGGAATTTTATAAGCAACACCAGATGGTGAAAGAAAGAGAAAATAAATTTAAGGGATTATTGATTAAAAGTAAATATATATATTAAATATTAAAGATAAAATGAGATTGATCAATTTGGTAATAAATTATCTTAGATTTAACCAATTATAGAGAATATTTTATAAAAAATGATTAAGACTAAATTTAATCTTGATCCAACTAGAGTTTATACATTTTAAGGTGGATTTTAATTAAATGAATCTAATATTGATTAATATTTAGGTGATATTCTTAATTTTATTATTAGCTGAATTGGAAGGTTATATAAATATGTTAGTATTATATAAATCAAATAAAGTTAAAAAAGATGGATTAAATTAAAATAAATTTATTACTGGATTATTATTGGAAGAAATACCAACCAAAGAATTTAAATCAAAATAATAATTAAATTAATCATCTGTATTACCATCTTAGGGAAATGAAGAAGGTTCAGACATTTAAAAATTTTTAAATTATAATGAATTTCATGACATGGCTAAATTAGCTTTAAAAGAGGTTGAAGGATAAAGTATTTAATATATAATATTTAATGTAGATTTTACATCAACAAAGAAGAATAAAAAATGATTTTTCTATACATAAATATAACATCTACGTTAATATCAATAAATATCACATCATAAGTGGTTTTTGAATGTTTTACATTTTATCGATCTCATTTTAGGTCATACTACTTGATGTATATTCAGAATTCTTTAATATAAGAAAATAATTACATTTAAGTCAGAGCGTGAACTATTTTACTTAATTACTGTAGTTTAAGTTACTATTTTTTATTGACTTTGTTATTTCACTAATGATTCATATTCTGCCTCTTTGATCATTAATTTTTCTTAACAAGCATGATAAATGTCATTTAATTCCTTAAACTTTGATTTCCAAATTTTGGCTTCTTCCTCAAAGGTTTTGACAGACTAGGTAGTTGTAATCTCTTCACTTAATTAATCAACTTATTAATAGAGTTCATTTAATTCCATTTATAATTTTGATATTGTATCATCTTTTTGAATGCATAATTCATTGATATGTTATTTTTCAATTTAAAGTTGATTGATTTCGATTCTCAGTTTTTCAAGTAAACTATCTTTTTAATTCATATTTGATTATAAGCTTAATATAGTTTATTCAAGAGAAGTCAATTTAATTTATAACTCAGATATTATTTATTAAGAAGCATTATTTTTTGATTCTTTTATAAATTAAATAATTACATGCATCTAAAGAATTTTAATCAAGAGTCTATTTTAATTGTTATTTTAATTTAATAATGATTTCATCTTTTTCATTCAACATAGCTAATTGATTTTGGATTTCACATTTTAATGAAAAATTTTCTTATTTATATTTTTCTACTATTTCTTAAACAGATTTCAAATCTAATTATAAATTATCAATAGTTTATTATAAAGTTGTAATTTTGAATTACATTTCTGATGTCAAAATAGTGGAATCACTTTTGTTTTGCTCTAAAATTATTTTATATAAATAATACTGTTCACACATTCTGCTTATTATATAGCATTTTATAACTTTTATTTCAGTAGAGTAATTTCTGCCTCTCTATCTTCTAATTATGTTTTTACACTAAAAAGTTCAGTTTATAAGTCTATAATTGCTTAATTATCATTGTCATTTGAGGCTCTTAATTCATAGTTTTCAGGTTCGACAATTACTTAGGTTTTTGACTCTAGCATATTTTCAAGTCCTTTCATTCTTTTACTCCACATTTCTTCAAACTTTATTAGGTCAACCACCTGAATTGGATTATCGATAATTGTTTATGTATGTATAGGTTCTACATGAGGAACATATACTGGAGGATAGTATTCAACAAAGGTTGGTTTTATAAGTTAAAAACTATTGTTTGATTTATGCGATAAAGGAGCTTGAGGAGATGAAGTTACATAATTTCTTAATGATTTTGGACCTTCTATTCTAATTTATTAGGATTGTTGCTGGGACTATTATTGAAGAGGTACAATAATATTTCCTACTGATACTTATGATTCAAGCTAAAATATTTAATTTTATTAGTACTTATTGAGGAACTGATCTAGTTGACACTTAATTAACTCTCACTGATCTAATCGATTGAAATTACTACTAAGCAACTATGCCTTATTAAGGAGCAGCCCCTTATACTTATAAAGTTTAAGTCTAATTGTTCTAGTAATAAAACTACTGTACTTATTAAGATGAAAGGTTTAATTATTATTGATTGGAAAAACTTGTTAGTTGTTAACAATTAGATTTCACATCTTATGTTATCTTAGATTATCCGATGATGTATGATGCTTTTTAATTTAAAGGTGAATTATTGAACATAAATAGGAGTAAATAAATTTATTTCTTATTTAAATTTCATATCCATGTTTTTATAAATAAACATTCAGTTTTTTCAAAAGAACTTTTTATTAAGAAATATTAATATTCATTTTAATAAAGTAAAATATATAACTAATTTATGTTTAATAGAATACTAAAAAGTATATAAAATATATAACTTAATTATATAATTAAGAATTATTAAGATTAAATGAAATCTAAATAATTTTTATTATTTATGAATGAATGAAAAATATAAACAATCATTTTTGATTATGATCAATAATAATCTGTTCTTGATATTATAAGACCCATTAAAATTTTTATCAGACTTAAATTATCGTCAAATAAAGATTATATAGATTAAATTAAAATCAATATATGAAAACACATCATTTATTATTTAACAATCAGATGTTAACAATAAAGTCATATTTATATACTCTTAAATATTAAAGAATATTGAAATAGAAATGTGATTAATCACAATAATTATCATTAAAAATTAAAATTTTATATCTAATTTCTAAAACAAATGGCTTAGCCAACTCCAAGAATCATAAAAGAGACATAAAATTTAGCAAAGGATAAGGTTTAAGGTATTGAAGTGACTCCTGATCCTGCAAATTTCAAACATTTTTTTGTGATAATTGCAGGACCTCCCAATACTCCATATGAAGGTGGAGTTTTTGATGTTGAATTACTATTACCAGATGATTATCCTATGGTATTTGATTAATTATATATTTAGTCCCCACCAAAATGTGTATTTAATACAAAGATCTATCATCCAAATATTGATAATTTAGGAAGAATTTGTTTGGATGTGTTAAAAGACAAATGGTCTCCTGCTCTTTAAATAAGATCAATTTTACTATCTATTTAAGTGTTGTTAAGCTCACCTAATCCTGTACTATAATTTTCTATAACTTAAGGATGATCCATTAAATAATGAAGCAGCCAATTTATGGAAAGCAAATGAAGGATAAGCACTTATGAAAGCAAGAGATTACACATTGAAATATGCAAAAAAACATTGATATGTTTGATTTATTGGAAAATAAATATATATTTCATATTCTTTAATTTAATTGATTTTAATTTAAATATAAATATAATTTATTATATATAATAATAATATTAAAAAATTATATATATTCAATAATATAAGTTAATTATTGGAGGTATTTCAATCATTATTAAATTTATTGAATATGAATCATTAAAATTTCCTTCAAACAGCCCTCACTAGATTTAGAATGGCTGCTATAAATGAGAAGGTAAATTCAGATCAAGTAGTTACTATTTTACAAAGTTTAAATTATAATCAGTCATAGATTAATTCAATTGTTTCATAGATCACATCTGAAATAGGTATTAGCATCATCTAAATAGACATTAATTAGTTTCAATAATTACTCTAACCCATAGAATAAGAAATCCCAATGTAAAAACTCACATCCGAATAAATTTATGCAATATATGCAGAATTTCGATAAGCCTTACATTTTTAGAACATAGAAAAGGTTAAGCAAATATTAAGTATGCAAATTGATTTGATTTAACTTAGCTACATATCAAAAGGATATTGATCTAGTGAATCGAATTGATCCATAGACTCGATAAATTTCAACATTTATAGCAATACAAGGTTCAGATGAAGATATTGCATTACAATTATTAAAATACTTATGTGAATTAGGAGCAAATATAAATTATAAAGACAACCTAAAATAATCCATCCTTTTTTATATTTGTAGAGATGGAAGGACAAAATTATTTGATTTTTTGATATCATAAGGAATCAATATTTCTGATACTGATTCATACGGATAAACTCCTTTATTTTATGCTTCTAGAGAAAATAGAATTGATATTATTTCAAAGTGATCTTTATATTTAAATATTTAGATTTATTAAATTAGGCATTGATGTAGCACATTTGGATACATTATCATGTTAGACAGCCTTATTTTATGCAGCAAGTAAAGGACATTATGAGGCTTGTAAATTATTGATAGAAGTAAAAACTATCATAAAAATTAGGCTGGATGTCCTATTAACCATTAAGATAATAAAAAGAAAACAGCACTTTATTTTGCTAAGCAATCATAGAAAAAAGAAGTTATTGATTTGATTACAGCTAGTATGCAAAAACAAAAGGAAGATGTTCCTCAAAAAAAGGCAGAGAGTGTTAAAGGAGGTGAATAGAAATAGAATAAGAAAAAGTAAAAAGAGGTTCCAAAATAATAATATAAAATTTTACATACTGATGATAAAGGATAACAAAGAGAATTAACAAATGAAGATTTTTAACAATTTTAAATTTAATATCCTGAAATTGCATCTCTTATTTTAAATGCAGATGAATTTATTGATGAAAATATGATAAATTAATGCAAAGAAGATGAAACTTGGGAAAAGTAGGCTAAAAAAATAATAGGTATATTTAGGTCTTTATCAATTAAAAGCATAAATTTGGAAAGCAAAAGGAGCCTACTTTTTCCATAAACCAGTTGATCAAGAGGAATTTCATATTACAGATTACTTTGATATTGTTAAAAAACCAATGGATTTTGGGACAATTAAAGTAAATATATATTTAAATACAATATAGAATAAATTAAATGTCAATGCATATAAAAACATTAGAGAATTTCATACTGATATGTTATTAGTTTTTGATAATTGTGGACTTTATAATGGAACATAAAGTGCAATTGGATAAATTGGAGTTAATATTAGAAATGAGTATTTAAGTTTAATTGAATAGAATGGGTTAAATAAATATTTGTGAATTATTTATACATGTTTGGGTATGAAAATTTTTAAGGGAAAATTATAAAAATCAAAAATTGTTGATGTCTCAAGTTTAAACTTTTTATTTTCTCCTTTCACAAATCAAATCAAATAAAGATTTGCATTGGTAGGATCCTGGACCAGGAATTTATTCATTGAAAGTTTATTTTGGCCTGTCTCCAATTCCAAAGGATATCTTATTAAATCTTTAATTCAAAGTTAAAGCTTCTTTTGGATTATAGGTTACAAAAGATGCTTATTACTTGGGTAATACTTATTTATCACTAAATATATTTATATAATGATACATTATTTTTCCATATATGCTAAATTAAGGAGTTTTCGATAATAGTTTAAATTGATATTATCCAGGACCAGGCACTTCTTAGCGTTCAATTTTAGCTAACTTATTTCCAAAAGAAAATGATTTTGTACTCTACAACGCCTTTAATTAATAGTCTCCAGGAGCAGGATTTAACCTATCTCTTCTCTCCAAGTCCAAAGGTTTAATAAGTTTTGTACCAAATCCAAAGGACGTTGACCTTTTTGTTTTTGTATCATTTAACAAGAGCATCTTAGGTGTTGATTCTCTAGAAACTGAAGGAAATCTTTTAGCTTTTGGAAAAGAATGTTGCTCATGGGTTTATAACAAAATGCTGGAGCTTAATTAATTTGGTTCACTGAATTATCCATTTAGTATTCTATTGGTACTTTTTAATTTTGAGTAAGACAAACTTCGATTGTGAAATTTGGCAGTATTCATAAAAAGAATAATAATTTATTTAAGTTTTATCTCCTAAATTTAATATATAATCAACAATTCTTTATTAATAAAAGAAGAATTCGTATTATAATACAAAATACTTATTTAATATGAAATATAAAACTCAACTAATATATTTATCTGCTTATTATTCTAATATTTTAGCACTTTACTTTGCATGTAAAAAAAGTTCATGAACTTCTTAAATATCCTATATGGCAATTTCATCTCTGCCTGAAGTTTAAGCTAATATATTGGCAGGAGTCAGCAATAGGATAGCAAATCTAAGTTCATATATTATTATTAAATACCTTAAAGATGATTGATTACCAATGCTACTCAACTCTTACAATGCTTCTTCTGTTATCTTAAGTCCTTCAGTTTAGGCTCTGATTGCTAATATTTTAATGATGTCTTCTAAGTTATATGGAGTAGTTCTTATAATCAATAATCTTAATATAATAAATATTATAATACCTGTCTAAGAGATCTACTGGTAATCCATGAGGACTGTTGATATCAGTACCTCTAATTTAAGAGTAACCTCTATTAGTAGCCAATACTACAATGGGAGCAAGAGTAGATTCTAAAGCTCTATTCAAGAATGTGAATGCTTCTATATCAAGCATGTGACATTCATCAATAAACAAAACTCCAGGCACTAATTCTGCGACTCCTTAGTCAATATATTTGCTGACTACTTTATTAATTTCTCCTCTTAACTTGTCTGTAATATCTGTTTTTTTCTTTTTATTCATTTGATTCATAAGAGATACGAAATCATGGCCTCCTTAAGGTTTTGCATTAGCAACATCTAAATCATGTAAAGTAACATCTTGGACAATCTCTTTCTTTTTATGAACATCTCCTTTAGGTAATGGTACATATTCTTCTGCCTCCAAATCATATTCACTATTATAAACATCACACCTTCCTACTCTTTTGACATTTCCACTATTAGCTTCTATATAAATAACATCTCCAATAGTGACTTTTTCTCTTGTTAAATTTTCATGAATAGATGGATCTAATTTTAATGTTTTAGATCCTTTAGATGTTTTCAAAGTTATTACTACAGCTGATACTACCTTTCCATAACTAATTTATTGATTATATATCCATACCCTGTCTAATCATCTTTTTCTTCTGTTTTTAATTCAATAACTTCTCCTTCCCAAACTTCTTTAGTTTCCTTAATTCTTAAACCAATAGCTCTTCTAAAATTCTCCATAAGTATTTCTGTCTTTTTCACCTCAGCAGAATAAACTTCTGAGCCAACCATTGGGTAAAATGGAACTTTTGATCCTAATTCTTAAGCTACTGCTAATGCTATGGCTGTTTTTCCAGTTCCTGGTGGTCCTGCCATTAATAATGCTCTTCCAGCAAGTTTTTTAGATTTAACCATATCAACAAATATTCCTGCTGCCTTTTGATAATATTTTTTGCTTTAAATACCTCTCTTGCTATTTATTATCCAACCATACCAGATGCATTTTCTAATGCAGTTCCATCTTCCTACAATCCCAATCCTTTTATATGACTATGGTGTGCAATTCTTTAGGTTTTGGTTGTAGATTTCACTTCTTCTATCTACTATAATACTGAAATTATACTTTCATCATGTTTTTAAAAATTAATTTATTTATTAATTAATCACTCATCACTAATCAATTCTATAATATCTTAGATATGCATCTAATTTGATATGAACACATGTTTAAATGCTTATTAATCAAAATAAGTATCATTTTCATCACTAATTACTTTAGAAAGTTTAAAGTTTTATATCAACTCTTTATAGATTGGCTTTACTGCTGGATGTTTTTCCATAAACTATTCACAAAGTATCCTATTTATATTAATAAATTCTCTATTTGTCACTCTTTATTATTTCTCTGGATCATAAAACTATTATTATTAATTAATTCACCTACATTCAGTACACTATCTATCATTTCTTTTAAACTGGCTTTCTTGTAAATGAATACTCTTATGAAATGACAGAATTATTTATACGAGACTCTTTCATCAAAATTTAGAGGACTCAAATCAAAACTTAATAATAATCTATCACCTATTATTGGTTTCTTTAAGATCTTAAAACCCTCCTTTAAAGATTCAATTGTCATTCCTTTAGTTTTGTAAAGATGCCAAAATGAGTTTATTTTTGGGCTGTTCTATAAATAATAATACTTTACTCAAATTTATAAAATTTCATAGGTTATGGTAATTCTGTTATTTATGAAGAATTGTCCTATGATTAAAATTGTATCATAGATCTCTTTAATGATTCTACACTATTATTAACTTAGTTTTTTTAAAAAGCAAATTTTGGAATCAATTCACATTTTGAACATTGAGGAGCTTCCTAACCAATAGATTGTCTAGTCCATCTATTTAAAATGTAGGATTATGATGGAAATTTTATTTAAAGTTGAGTTGATGATCCTTCAACTAGATACCTTTGAATATCTTATTTTAAAGTATCTTCCATGGCCTTCATTTTAATTAATGCTTCCTAAGATTATTCATTATCCAATTATAATTTAGCTATATAAATTGTTTCCAAACAACTAGATGGACCTTATGGTTTTCTTGCTTTTATGAGATGATCTGATGTATAATTACTTCTTTTGATCTAAAGACTAAATGCATAACATTCAACAAATACTTATTCACATTTAATTTCTTATGTAGTATATTTTTATCCCATATCCCAATAGTTTTCCCTAATTGATAGGTTCCTTCTAGATATTCTGCTACATTAATTTATCCAGGAGGCTTTTAATATTTGTAGTTTTTATAAGGTAAATTGAACAAGTTGTAATATTCTGGAGGTCTTTCTGGCAAATCAGCTTATGTTTTAGGTCTATCTTATAAAGTAAGTAGAACTCTCTTCTCTGTAGGTTAGTTAGCACTTTATTTTTTTAATGGACTGCTTAAAGATTTCCTAAACTTACAATCTAAACTTGATGGAAATCTCTATCTAGTTTTTAATATTCTTCTAAAGTGATCATATTCTCCAGGCTAATCAAGGTGAAATCAACAAGTTACTGTTTTACTTTATCTAGTTGACTGTACAGTACTTGGGGTTTACACTATTGCAATCATTATTTGTTAATAAATATTATTATCTCAACAAAATTTGTATAAATTTAATTATGAATATTGTTAAGACAATTAGATAAGTATTCTAATTTTCAAGAGTCAGATATTTTGTCTAATAAAAAGATCCAAGAATTAATGTTGATTATGCAGATTCAAAAGAAACTAAAATACCTAATGTTTGTTCAAATCCAGAAAAATTGAATGAAGAAAGTGAATATTGTAAGGTCACTGTATAAGGAAAGGAAGTGAAATCATCTGAAAAGTATATTTTGTTTTAATCATCTATTAGATTGAGAATTAAAGCAAAAGTGAAAAATTGTAAAGAAATTAATGGAGTCATTGCATATATTTGATGCTGATTATATAATAAATTCATTAAATACACCTTTCAAATAAATATTTTAATGGCTAATAACAAATATATACGTAAAATATGTTAGCAAATTATGCCTTTATTTTGAAGAGCATAAAATCATTCAATTTTAATAGAAATTTTTTAAAGTTTATTTTTATTCGATTTTATATTCTAATTTTCTCTCTCTTTACTTTATACTTCTGTAAATCATTAAGATCTTATAAAAAGAATAAAAATATTAAACAATATAATATAATATTATAGTAATGAATTTCTTATAAAATAGTACATTTGGATTACTAATTTTAAGTTGTATTTCATAAATAAAGTAATTATTAACTTAATTATACTTTGTGTCTAGAAAATAAAATAAATGAACAATTAATTTGATTAATTTAAAATAAAAAATGCAATAAAATAGTTATGGGTTGAATTTAGGAGTGGTTGGTACATAAAATATTAATATGCCTACTTCTTAAGTTTTGAAATAAATTGCACAAAATAAACAATAGACATAGTAAAACAAATAAGTTTAGGATTAAGATCTAACAATAATTGCATAATAGACAGATCATCTTAGAAAAAGAATCTCAAACATTTTTCATTTACCAATTAAGCTTAAAAAAACTTAAAGTAATTAATAACTTCTAGTTAGACTTTATGATTGAAGATATTGGATTAAAGGTGGATTACTTATTCAAAAAATCTCATCTAAACTAAAGTAATGTTGATTATCTTAGTGATCATATTAAAAGATTAGGAGATAGGATTAACTAAGAAATGAAAAAAAAATAAGAGTAATATCATTCTAGCATAAAAATTGATAATTTTAGAAATTTTTCATCAATTTAACAAGAGTTCTAAAAAAATAAATAAGTAAAATACTTCTAATAAACAAATTAGATTTATAATTCCTTTTATAAAACAGAATTAAAGACAATAATAAGATAAAAAGAAAAATTAATTGATATTCTTACTTCTTCAAATAGAACTGAAAAATTAGTTTCACATGAAATTTAACTAAATTAATATAATGAAGTAATTTTGTAAAAATTGTTTATTGAAAACCATTTATATTAAGCCCTGTTAAATTTTATAAAAAATAAGAATGATATATCAATATATGAGAAACTTTTTAGAACATTAGAAGTGTTTGAAACAACACATAATGTAGAAATGAGATTATTAGCAGATTAATTTAAGAATATATCAAATACATTAAATTAATAACAAAAATGGTATATAAATTCAATTATAATATAGTGAAAACATTATTCGTAATACAGTAACAAATTTAGAAAATGATATGCTTAAATAAATTGGTCACTTAGACATATAGAATTTAAATAGAAAATTCAAAGAGTTTTATCTTCCTTATTTATAAACTACTGAATTATATTAAATAGGATAGTTTTTTCCTAGTGGAATCCTCTTTTTATTGATGCGATGTGGTAAAGTTAATGAAGCATAAAAAATTCTTTCTGGATTGATTTAAAGTGATTAAAGAATAGCTTAATAATTTTTAAGTTTTTTTGATTTATAAAAATAAGAAATTCTGAATCAAAATGATGTTGAAGAGAAATCAAGACAATAATGTTGTGATATATTATTACAATAATGTTATTGGTTATTATTAGATGTTAGTGATGCTTATGATGTATTTGAATAAACCTAATTTTAAAAAGATAGAGACTTTTATATATGGTTAACATTAAAAACTACTCATTGTTCTGATGAATTTGTAGTATATGAAAGATCTGATCAAGAATCAAAAAAAGCTTTCTTTCATTGGAAACTTATAGATCTTCATGAAACCATACCATAATCTACAGTAAGTCTTAGAATCAACATCATTTTATAAAGATATGATTACATTTTGAGTGAACTATATAAATACTAAAATCAATGTCTTTCATAGGTTGAATATTTTATATTAGATACAGTACTTACAGCATTAAATATGAAAATATAAAAAAATGCAATAGCAGAAGAACAAAAGAAAAATATTATTGATAATCTTGTTAATTACACTTAAAATAAGCTTCCTCTTGTTTCTTGTTTAATAATGAGTGTTAGTACATACAATATTGAAGCTATTGCTAATTTATTATAAAAAACTAATCATGTTACATAAGTATTGATGGATAAAAATTTTAGAGAAAATTTAGAAGTAATATTTGGTAAAGATGAATTACTAAATATTACAAATGAGATGGTTCATTTATTCTTTGAAAAAAGTTTACATAATTCATTAAAAGAATTTTAATAACAATTAGAAAGATCATCTACAATGAATTAAATTAATGATTGTTAAACTGTCTTAATTTTAAAATTAGATGAAATGAGTATTTATTTGAAACAATTACTAAACTAATATTCTGAAACCCTTTTAGAAACAGCCATTTATTTATATCATGAAACATAGCTTGTATATATATTAAGTTGTGTAATTGTTAATTAATACTGTATTATTAAATTAGGATCATAAATTGAAAAAAGACAATTATAAGCAAGAAATTTAGAAAATTTACATTCTAGAATCAAGAGTTGTGCAAAAGATTCTAGATAATATAAATATTTTTATCGATTCTATTTAATAGAAATATTTTAATAAACTTAATAATCAATGAGATAAGATTAAGTTAATTTAAATGAAATTAATCAAACTTTATCAAACGTTAATATACGAGAATTAACAAAAAATTTAATTGAGAACAAATAAATTCATTTAATTAAAATGGTATTTTGGTAAATTTTGTAATTAATTGACTAAAAAAAATGCAATGAAAAATCTTATCTTATGTAAACAATTATTTTTATTTAATAGTGAAAAAATAAAAGAATTGAATGAAGCATTGCTAAAATTCCCAGAAAGTCAAGGTATTAAGATTTGCAGGGAAGATGTTCAATTTTCATAAATTGTTGTTGATATTTTGAATTCTTATTCAAAAGTGCTAAAGATGTATTGAGCTCTGTTCTTCTGTGATTAAATTAATTATAAATTAGTTTTTTTTTTCATTTTTATTATGTTTGATTAAGTTAATAATCTATTATAATTTATTAAATTTATAATTATAATCAGAGTATGCTCTCAAAAAGGAAGGTTTCATCTTAAAATTTAGAAGAATTATCTAACTCAATAGAATAATTATGCAATAAAATTCGTAAAGTAATTGTAAGTGAGGTAGGTGAAAAATATATCCAAAATCATTCTGAAAAGGGCATTAAATAAAAAAGAACTAAACACAAATCTAAAAGAGAAGATGAATAATATATTGTAGAAATAATTCAGAATGATCCTGTTGAAGTAGAAGATTAGCTTTCTTCAATTTAAGCAATATCTGAATCCTAATCATGGGTAGTTGAAGAACTATTTGATGAAATAAATAAGCTCAATTACCATTAAGAGATTGAATGAAGTTCTTTAATTAATTGTGTTTAAATATATATTAGAATATTTGGGTATTGTACACAGGTGTGTGCTATGCTTAAATTTAAAATTTGATTTAATATTTTTATCCAATTATTTATTATTAATTATGAAAAATAAAATAGGAACATTTATCTTTGAAAATAGTTGATTAAATTTAATTTGAGTCTGCATTTTTAATTCATTTATTTTTCTATATAAAAATTCATTATAATCTTAAAATTCAATTTATAAATTAAAGTTTTTGTTAAAATATAAAGTTTGATTAAGCTAATAATTATATTAGGTCTGATATAATAATTCTTCAGTTTTAGGTTAATAAAATAGATATATCAATCAGATTTAATGAAATTAAAACAGATATTTGGAATTAAATTAATTAGATAAATTGATTTATTCATAAATGAAAGCTGTTCTATTTTTTTAAATTATGAAAGACTTGAAAAAAAGTAATAAAAATTAATAACAACATATTTTGAGGTTTATATATTTTGCCTCTATTTTATGAATTGATTTGATCATATTTAAATTCTTATATATTGTAAGTTCTCAAACTATATAGTATTATCTTTTTTATTAAATAAATGATATTAATTAAATTTCAAATATAAATACATGTCAAGTGAAGAGGAAGTACTTTATCTAGTATATTCTTTTAGAAAATGAAATAATTGTAAGCACTTCCAATTAGAAATTACTTGGATTAAACTGTAGTGCCCCTTTTATTATAGGCAATGACTGAAGTAGCAAAAGTGAGGTTAGATTTTCTAATTATTAAGACCTCCTAATCCAATTGAATTTATTGCTAACTTTTTGCTATAGAATAATCCAGAAAAAGCATAAACAAGATAATAATGAGTGTTAGCGAACTGAAACTGATTTTATATAAACAAAATAAATAAATACTAAGATTTTATTATAAAGACAATTTCTTGAACCTTGAGTTTATATTCAATTATTCAAGTAAATGCATTAGATTTTATTAAAATACTTTAATTTAACTTTGTTTTATAATGAATTTGGAAATTGAAGAAAGAAGTAAAATAAAAATATGAATTCGTTTTAAAAACAATTTACTTTATTCAATAACCAAAGAATCCTTTAATCAACAAATAAATTTCATTTTTATATATTAATTGGATGTTAATTATAATTATTTACTTTAATTGATTTTTAAGACTTATTGTTATATGTAGTAATTTAAATACACATATATATGAATTAGCATTGATTTAAAAATTTATTAATAAAAATATATAAATTTTATTTGTTAAATTAAATGATCCCTGATGAGAAATACGGAATTGTAATTAAAACAGGAACCACATTAAATGGAAATATTTTGATTAAAAAATATGAATAGGTTCCAAATATAATGGAAAAACATTTAATACCAAGGCCTATTTAAATTGTTTACATAGAATCAATTGAAGAACCATGGCGTTAATTAGCTTTGGATTTGGAAAGAAAATATGTAGCATTAACTTTAGAGATGTAAAATAGAAAATTAAATGGATATTAAAAGACTGAAAATTGTTAGGTTACATAAAATGATGTAAATTAATAATGTGATGAAATAGAGATTGAAATAGAAAAACTAGAATAATAATTAAAGTATAATATTATTTTATTATAGATAAATGGATGAGGATTATAATGATAAAATGAAATTGTTGTAATAATTATAGGAATAAGAGACAAGAATTGAATCAACAAGTTATGATTAAGAACATTAACTTGAAGAAATGAAATAAAAGTTTAAAAAATTAAATGGATTAAACAGTGATCTCAATGAAAAGATTGTTATGTTAGAAGCAGAAAATGAAGCAATAAAAAAGATGTAAACAACAAGAAAGAGTATAGTAACAACAACTTCAACTAAAAATCAAATTCATGTTCTATGATTTTAGCATATTTATTATATTTTATCATTATACTAAAATATTTTGAGAGATAAGAAGAATTAATTTGTTAAAGTATAATAATAATAAATAAACTAAAAAGCATTATGCAGAAATATAATTATTAAAATTAACGAATTGCAGTTATTAATGGATTTCGTATAAAGTGAAGAGAGATATTAAAAATTAGAGAAAATAGGAGAAGGCACCTATGGATTAGTTTATAAGGCTAAAGATAATCAAACAGGAGAGATAGTGGCATTAAAGAAAATAAGAATGGATCATGAAGATGAAGGAGTTCCATCAACTGCCATTAGAGAAATTTCATTATTAAAAGAAGTAACAATTTATAAAAATACCAGGTCTAACATCCTAATATTGTTCCTCTAAAAGATGTTGTTTATGATGAATCAAGATTGTATCTAATCTTTGATTTTGTCGATTTAGATTTAAAAAAGTACATGGAAAGTGTACCTTAGTTAGATAGAGTTTAAGTGAAGAAATTCATACACTAAATGTTATAAGCTCTAAATTATTGCCATTAAAATAGAGTTATTCATAGAGATTTAAAGCCTTAAAATATTTTGGTAGACATAAAATAATAAAACACTCAAATAGCAGATTTTGGATTAGCAAGAGCATTTGGCTTACCTTTAAAAACCTACACTCATGAAGTTATAACATTATGGTATAGAGCCCCAGAAATTCTACTTGGATAAAGATAATATTCTACTCCTGTAGACATATGGTCTTTGGGTTGTATATTTGCTGAAATGGCCTAAAAACGTCCATTATTTTGTGGAGATTCTGAAATTGATTAGTTATTCAAGATATTTAAGATCATGGGAACTCCAAAAGAGTCTACATGGCCAGGTGTTAGTACTTTACCTGATTTCAAGAGTACTTTTCCAAGATGGCCAACTCCTACTAATCCAGCTGCTACATTAGGAAGGGATATTACAAATTTATGTCCATTAGGATTAGATCTACTTTCTAAGATGATTGTTTATGATCCTTATGCAAGAATAACAGCAGAAGAAGCTTTGAAGCATGCTTATTTTGACGATTTAAATAACTGATATGAAATTTTATTATAATAATATTAATGAGTAAATTATCGTAGGTTTTGAAATCTCATACGGATGTCAATGGTGTCACCCTTTTTGATCATATTAATAGCTTCATTAATGAAGTCTTGTAAAGCAATCATAAGGATATGAACTCAATCGAACTCTTATCAGATTTTACAAAAAAAAATAGATTTCTTTTCAAAAAATTGTCATCTGAAAGTGAAGTAAATAATCTTAGAGATAAAATCCCTGAATTTGCTGATTGGGTAAAGAGAGTTTCACAATTACTAAAAGTATAATGGCTATTGAATTGTAGGGTTAAACAGTTGCATAAATGCCTACTATTTTATAAGACTTTGTTGCATCCGCTAGATTATTGGAAGCGGCAGGTTATGGTTTTGGAGAGGAAGAAACCTACTAGATCCAATTAAGTATAAAATAATTAAGTGTAAATATCAATATCTATTTTCAGATTGAAACAAATGCAACTGAAATGACATTTTTTGGAAAAATACTTTGTAGAAATTCTGATTATTATGTTGCCAGAGGAGTAGTACCTAAACTACCTACTGATTATTTAGCACCAAATGCTGAACCTAGAGGAGATGGTGTAAATTATTATACATTCTGGGTTACTAATGATAGTATTTAATATATTAATCAATAGTATTGACTGATTGGAATGAGTTACCACTAGTAACCCCAGAATAAATTAAAGTGGCTAGAGAAATTAAATATGTTTGTACAGGAAATTTGAATCAAGAATTAAAAACATATCCTCCTTTTCCTGGAAAAGAAAAGCATTATTTAAAAGCATAATTAGTAAGGATTTTACATTCTAATTTAATTGCACCAAAAGGACTTTATCAATAAAAAGAGGATAATCGTAAATTAATAAAATTATTTATTTAGCAAAGGAATTGGAATTTGTAGAAGAATTCAAAATCCCTGAATTTGCTGAATTGTAAAATCCAGATAGTTGGGTTCATGTTCCTGCATAAATTTTAAAATAAGGAAGAATAACATTATACACAGATGGATTATCTGAAGAAGCTAAAAATGCTTTACTTGAGGCTAATCCAGATCTTGATAGTGAAACAACAAGATTAAAAGGTATTGCTGAAGATCGTCCACTTGAACCATTTTATTAAACAAATTGGTTAATTAAAACTGTTGGAGATTAAATGATATATAATCCTAAAGATGATAATTCTGGAAATAATGTCTATGCAACTGTTATTCTTAAAAACTACACATGGAGTGGGGCTGTAACAGTAGCCAATGTATAATTAACAAAAATTCTTTTAGCAAAATCAATGGGCATTTTTTTATGTTGGTTATGGATTTAAAGATACTCAAGCAGCTTATGTGCCTATATAAAATAATGATTTATAATTGGAACCAGAAGATAAATCAGAATTTCCTGAACCAAATCCTAAAAATCCACCTAAACCCCCTGAGCCAGAAAAAGTTGAAGGTCAAGAAGGTTAAGATGGATAAGAATAGTAAGCAGATCCAGATGATTAATGATTTAAAATTATGGCAATTCAACATCAATACAATCCTGCTAATTCATTAACTGTATTTTCATTTTTCCATTCTTTACTCTTTTCTACTTCTAAATTATCTTCAAATTATTTTTTTATTATTTCTATTTCTAATTAACTTAATTATAAATCTGCAAGAGTTGTCTTATCATTTAAATTGATCAAAGCATTTGGTATTGATGCTTATTTGATATTAATGAAATAAGCTCCTTTTTCTCTTAATTCTACAGTATGAAAGCCAATTACATTATTTCTTTATTTGATATAATTAGTTAATTGAATGATCAATAACTTTTAGAACATATATTGTCTAATATTCATTATATTTTATATATAATTAATTTATATAAAAAGTATTATATTTTTAGAATAGTTCATTGTGAGAAATAAATTTTGAATTTATACTTCAGAATAAAATCAAATATATATATATTATCACTACACTTTTTATGCAACTCCATGTAATCTTTCTAAATAATCCATAACAGGAGTTGTTAATAATGCTTAGAACATGAATTAACAAAATCTCATCTACCATCCAGCATAAAAACCAGGTATTCCCTTTTCATAATACACTTTTTTAAATGCATTCCAAATTGATAGATTTTTTATTTAATCATTATTTTCCATTTAAAATTATGTTTTAATCATATCAAATGGTTGAACAATAACAATGTTTGGAATTGCTGTGAATATAGAACATAGGACAATCTCTTTAACTGTTAATTTTTAGGATGGATGTCTTTTGAAATAATATCTAACTCTATGATCCCAATATAAATAATTTGTCCAAGAAACAACTTATTTTAAAACCATGACTTCCATTCCAGTAAATAAATCTCTAGTAAACCCTTTAATACCTCCATCATGTTCCCACATATATTTTAAAACTAAAGATATTTCTAGAATCTATTACCTGATTTGGATTATTATTAAGTCATCATTTGACATTTAACTCTTTCAAATGGACAAGTTACAAAAGACTCAAATAAAGCGATAGTTATTCCTGCTAATCCTTTATGTAAAGCAGGTGCAGATTCTTTAATCTTTTCAGGCAAAATTTACATATAAAGTCTTGGAATCAAAATCATCATCGGCCATCTAAATATGCTAATTAACAAGTTTACCTGTAGTACTATTTAAATAATTAAATGCTTATTTATGATGAAAACCCAGCGAATATTCCACGGAATATTCCATTTCGATAATAACTTTCAAGAAATAACTAATTGTTACTTTCAATGCTTACTTGTTTAAAATTGTTATTTTATGAAGCCTAGATTAAGGTCTTAAAGCGATCAAAGAAATGATCCATTGGTAATCCTAAGATTGCTCTTGAAACTCCAATGAATTGAGTCTCCAAAATAGGTTTTAAAATTTCTTTGCTTTTATAAATCCATTAAGTTCTTTCAGACATATTATTTAAAACATTTAATCATTATATCAATTAAAGTTTATAAAATACTAAGTGCGCACTTAATTTGATCATATGTATAAGTCTTGTAAATATTATCAAAATAATGATGCAATATTTAATTTTTAATTAATAGCATAATTTTTCATTTCTAATTTATATAGCATACTTTATTTGATAAATTTATAAAGTTGTATTCATTATATTCTTTGAATATTTAATAGAAAATTTATGAATCATATAGAGATTTAAGTTCAGGTTAGAAAGTTGCCTTTTTGATTGAGATTTAATTTTCAAAACAAATTTAATATTTTTATATTCACTCTACATAAAAAATATTATAGATATTTTGAATCTTCATTATTCATTCTAATATTTATAACTTTTTCTATAAATTATGAAATATTGGATAATTTAAAATGATTCTGAATCAATTTTACTATAATAAAACAAAGTTGTCATTTTATGCTATAATTAGATTATTAAAATGAAAATTCTTATTTTTAATTGGTTTCTAGAATTGATCAATCGATTATTGAAGTTTTTGTTATTTATGATTGTTTAAATTATATCCAAATCTTGAATTTGACCAAGTAACTTATTTTTTTTTCCAAAAATTTCTACTCTTTTAAATAAATTATTGAATATATTAATATATTATATCAATTTAATGAAATAAATTATCAAATCATATAAAAATTACATATAAGATCATGAACCATTAATTCATTAGGAATTATTTCAAACAGTAATCAATAATGTTATTAAAATAAAAACTTTTAAAATATATAAAAATGATCATTGAAATTTATATAAATAAATTAATAATTATTAGATGTCTTAGTAACAAGACCCACCAAGTGCAAAGAAAAGAATTAGAAGATGCACTAAACATGATGAGACTCCTCGTCCCTATAAATGCGGTTGTGGGCGTGGTTATTATAGCTATCCAGCATTGTACACTCATTTGAAGTAAATCTATGTATATCTTATTAAGGATTAAGCATGAAGGGCAACCTCCTACAGGGACTTAAATACCAAGTGATAAGCATTATGGAAGTAGGGGAAGGCCAAGAGAAAAGAATTTAATGTGCGAAGAAGAAAGCAAGCATCAAGTCTTCATTGATGAAGATAAGAGGGAAGATAATCATAAAGATGAGAAAATCACAATAAATGAATGAAATTTAAAAAAAGCAAAGGTCTTTTTTCTTTTATTAATAATTTATATCTAATACTTATAAATAATCTCTTTCTATAAATGAATTGGAAACAAGTTTATGCTAGCTCTGAACATAGATCAAAAAGAAGTATTATGTAATATTTAATCTAGTTTTATCTGGAAATGCAAAAAACAAAGATCCTAAATCTAATATTCATAGTCCAAGAAGTAAATCTACAATAACATAAAAGATAGCCAACATTCTCATAAGGGTACTATGATTGGGCTTTAGAGAATTTCAAAAGAGATTGTAGAAAGCTTAACAAAAGCTTTAACACCAAATTGTAGAGTTCGTTAGAATTCTCCAAAGCCAATACTTTAAGAGCAGGAACAGAAATAAATACAAAAACCCAACAAAGAACCAGAAATTTTCAGATAACCTTTGGAATAATTAGAAAATGTAAAGTCAAATAAAGAATTAGAAAATCTTGAGTACATTAATTTTACTAAATTTGCTGTAAATACCATGCATTAAATATTATAGAGAAAAATATCATAATAACCAATTAAAGAAATTAGAATCCCTAAAAATGAATAAAAAATAAGTAGATAAAGATCTTAAGATTTTCATTCAAAATAAGAAGAATGGTTAAGAAAAAAAAATGAAAAAGTATTAAAATAAAGGATTGAATAATAATGTTAGCAATAAAGAAAGGAAAATCGCATCGGTTATCTAGAAAAATCATAGACAGATAGATTTTAATGATTACTTAATATTTTACCAAATTCACTATTTTTTCTTATTATATTATATTTTTTTTCAAAAAATTGAAAAACATATTCAGATTTCTAAAAGATCATATATTATGTATTTAATGTACTAAAACATAGAACATATATGTATCATTTTTTGATTTATTTGACAATTTTCACTTCTTCAACCAAAAATGCTCTAATTATTCTGTTTTTTAAAGCACCAGCACTTAAAACACCACCATATGGTCTTGAAACTGTTCTTTGTCTTCTTGAAAGTTGCTTAAGCTTAGTTGGTCTAATTCTTTTAAGACCATTAAGAACAACGTTCAAATTTGAGTCGGCACATGTTGAGGCACTTGTTTTTTTATTAGGATATTGAACAACAACATTACCACCTATATGATACTCATATCAACATACCTGGTGTCTTAACCTTTCTAATTTTATTAGATCTAGTGTTGTATGATGTTCTTCTTCTATATGTCACTCTAACACCCATAATTTAATATCTTTTATTTAATTATATGAATTTATTGTCCGGAAAAAATTTATATATTATTTATATCACATTTATATAATATTTTTGTTATGATAAAATACTTAAGGATATCAATTATGTTATTTATTATAACAAAAAAACTAGGAATAGATTCTGAAAAACAAATTAAAAATATTATTGATTTATTTTTTTTTAAACTAAAAAGAATATTACTATTTTAATATATGATAAAGAGAACTTTATAATATAAGCTAAAAATATGAATATATTGATTAATAAATGTCTTTTAGAAACAGATCCAAAAATTAATTGCTATTATATTGAATTAGATGATATAAAGTATTGTATTAAAGTTTAATTCATGAAAATAGTTAAATTTTAAGTGCTAATATTTTGACAAGAATTTAGTATTAAGATAACAATAAAAAATAGAAGGCTCATTATTATAAAAAATTGTCAAAAAGAATTATTTTTTTTCTCTAGTGTCATCTAAGGAATTAATTATTTTAAAAATAATTAAATAATATGGCTCAGCTATTAAATAGTACTTTATAACAACATATTTAATTTAGAAATTATGACTCATATTAATCTTTTTGATGGCAATTTTGAAACCTGTAATTTTATAATTTTAATCAAATCTTCAACAAATTTATCCTGTAAAAAAAGAGTAAATGTCATTCCATAAATGAATTTATTAATTCTAAAAAATGCGTCTAAATATTGGAAAATTTATAGAGAATGGTTCATTTTATTGATATTTATTTGGATATTTGGATAAAATTGAATTAGAATTGATTGTGTCTTCCTTTTCCTCTGTCATATAAATACTAATAAATTAATCTATTGGTACAGATTTTCTATAATTTAATCCTTTTGTTTATTTAATTGTTTTTGATTGCTAAAAATAATAAAATTATAAATTACATCAATTTAGTATATTTCTGTCCAAGTTAATAGATTAGTTAGAGTTAAATTATCTTTAAAAATTGAAGATTTTCTTAAATATTCTATTTCCTCACTATCTATACTTTCAGTATTTAGTGATTATTGTATATATGTAAGTATAGTTTAAATATCTTTCTATATAGCCTCACTTTATGTAGTTAATCCTAATTGAAATAAATCAGTTGATGATAAATGCCGATGATTGTGAATCAAACGATATATGAAAACAATTATTTATTCCTAATTTATAGATAATAATTTTTATATTAATGATTTCCAAAATTGAAAATCAATATATTAAGGAATTTCAAAAAAATTCATAATTTTTTAACTTATACCTATTCGATATTTCTCTACTAACTTTTGAAAAATTATTTATTTATTGATTCTAATTTTATTGATATTTAAACTCGGATTAGCATTAACAAAAATGGAAAAATGAGCTTCAAAATTAAATTTATTAATGCTATTTTATCTTCTTCTAGATTCATATGAATATCTTTGTTTTCTCATTTTATTTTGTTGTTATTGTAATTAATAAGAGTTAGTGCAAGAAACCTTTCTAATTTCAGTTGGTTTACGAGATTTAGATCTAACAACATCAATTGTATTATATCTTTCGTCTTCACTTTTGAAGGGTTTACTACAGTTTTGTTACATCTTTTTGTAAACTTCAGTTTTCATTCTTTGTGGAACAAAAGGCAATATCTATATATGTTATTGATTCAAAAATAAAGGAAGCTCTTCTATGAACAGTTATTTTGGTTTGATCTTAGGTTATTGAATAGTTAAATCAATTTCAAATAATTTTGTATTGATAGGAGATTATTATCTATCAGGTATTAAAGACAACAATCTTCTAAATTGCGCTTTATTCATTTCTAAATTAATAATAAATACAACTTTATATATGATTAAAAAGATAAAAAATAAAAATCACACAAATAGCAACCTTAATAAGATCAAAACTAGTCAAAAAATTGAAATAAGAAGCCAATCAAATTAATGATTATTTATATATAATGTATGAATCCTAGACATGGATGAACAATATAATTTAATTTTATTTTGTTTCACAAACATTAAGAAACCCCTTATCTGACTATTCAGAAGAAAATTTTATTATTTTTGATGATAAAATGAAGAATAAGATTGTTTCATCATTATATATTCCAAATTAAAAAGTATGATTCAAGCAATGATTAAATAATTAATGGATGACAGGCGTAGAGGATGAAAATAATTAAGAATTTTAATCTTAATAGGAATGAATAATACAGGACATGGAAAGTCTTTTAAGCAATTATTGATTATTTGAAATTTGTTATTGTTTATAAAGAGTTATATCTATAGTTGTTGGAAATAAAAAGACTGAAGTTATATTAGAAGAAAAAGAAGAGCTTATTGTTTTATTGAATATTTAGATAGGTCAATTATAATATTAAAAATAGCGTAATAATTCTTATAATAATCTAGAAAAAGAAATTTTATTAAACTAATTATAATCATAATACTACAATTTCAATCACTAGGTTCCTATAAAAAATCAATAATGATAAAAATATTGATTTTTAATGAGAAAGATCAAACCTTAATTGCTCAAAAATAAATATTAAAAAGAAAAAATAGAGCAATCACAAATTAAAGAAAAGTAATAAAAAAAGAATAAAAATATGAATATTCCCTTTAGTTTTGAATATAGTAAATAAATTAGCAATGTGCATATTTAATAATAAAAAGAAGCTTTATAAGATTATGGATGAAATTATAATTAAATAATATTATGCAATATTATTCATTTATTCTTTTCAATCTTTGAGGATAATGAATTTAAAGATAAATTTACAATTGTTTTTGTTTCATTTTTTTATTTTAATTTGGTTAATTCTTAATGTTTCTAAGAAAGTAAACAAAATTAATAATTTTTGGTACCAGTTTTTGGTCTATTTTGATTATGATTAACCTATTAAACCTTAAAATTGGAATTTATAGAACTCATGTTTAATGAGGAGGATCTTGATTGATTCATTGATTATGATAGACGTCTATTATGTGACATTTACAAATCAGAACTTTATTATTCCTGTTTTAAGTAGAATTTTAAATTTTTAGGAGAGTACCTGCTTTCAATTTATGAATATTTTTTGTTTTCTATTTTAGGTGTAGAATTTCCTATTATCTTAATAAAAACTTAAGGCTAACTTTGACGCTTATTTGATAATGCTTTTTAATTATTTGTTTCTAGTATAACAGAATTATTTAATTAATTTCGTTTATTATAATAGCGATGTAGTCTATACAATCTAATTAATTCTTCAAATTCAATATTATTGACAAAGTTAGAAAACATTTTAGATGACTATTTATCTTCTAAAAAGTAATTTGTTATATGATTACTCTTTTAAATATAAAGATTTTACTTAATGTAAATTGAGTGTCGAAGAACATAATAGAAAATCTGAAATTCCATTTAAGCATTATTCAATATTTAGAAAGTCTTAATTTTCAGCAAAGGTAGGAGTATTATCATTAATTGAGGTAATATTAGCATGCATGTTAATTCCAATTGATTAATTAATTTTTTTATTATTAAAATAATGAATAAATAATATTATGTAAGATAAACATTTAATAATGAAGTTTATATATTTTTAATTAATAAAAAAATCATTTAATATAATTCTCGTATCTTTCAACATTTCTTTTTAGAATTTATTCCAATGGACCCATCATTCTATTAAATGATTTAAAATCACAATAATAGAGTGTACAATCTGTCTAAGAGAATTATTAAAATACATTAGTACGGTTGCTATAATTGTTGCTTATCGAGGAGTGTTTTTTAATAAGGCTAGCTCCCCAAAATAATCACCTGATTTGTAGGAATAAACCTTTTCTGATTACCCATCTTTATGAGCTTCTAATTCTCCTTCAGCAATAAAATAAATTGTATCTCCTTATTCTCCCTAATTAATTAAAATATTAATAAATAAAAACTTAATGTATAACTTTGTCTCCTCTGATGTATTTCACTTCTTTTAAGACATTGCAAAACTATAATTTTTCATATGGTTCTAAAGACTTTAAAAGTTCAATTTTATTTAATATTTATTCCATTTTTTCTTTCTTTCTAATAGCTGTATCTTTAACAATATTGTTAAAGGTTGCTCTATCTAAAGCAAAAACTATAACAGGTTCAATTGCTTTAATAGTAGCAACATGAGGTACATTATCCAATAAAGCAAATTCACCAAAGGATTCACCAGGTATATATTTTTTTAAGAAAGTTTCTTTATCTTAATTATTGATTTTCTTTGTGGATTCCAATTCACCTTCATCAATAAAATATAATTCATTTCCATCATCACCTTGACGAATAACAAAGTCTCCAGGCCTAAAATATTAAGATAAATTAAAATAATTACTAAAACTTCTACTCTTCCATAGCATCTATAACAATTTCTAAGTTTTATTCATCTAATGCTTAAAAAATAAAAGAATTTAAAATCTTTTTTCTAATTCTATCTACTTGATCTTTAGTTTTTTCTATAAACCTTGGTTTGAAATCTTCTTTTTTGTTGAATTCTCCTTAGATCTCTACTGAAGCTCCAGCTCTTGAATTTTGTATTTAATTTTTTTTATTTGCTAAAACTTCTACCTCATCATCTTCTTCTTCTTCACTTTGATATATTTAATTTTATTAAGTGGATTCTAAAAATCACAAAATTCCATACATAATTTTTAAAGCCAACGAATACTCCAATCTATAACATTTCTTGGTCTATCTGAAAGTATTTATTTTAATAGTTTATCATAGACTGGCTGTACAAACTATTTCATATATTCCTAAATATTTTCTTTTTTTTCATTCATCAATTTATATATATAAATTTATATAAATTTATAAATTTTTTTTATATTATTAAATGAATGACTTGAAAATATTATTAATATTTAATAAACTTTTATGATTGAAAAATCAAATTTATAATAGTTCTATTCCAAATTGGAGGAAATTGTTAGCAAGAAGATATCTTACATAATTAATTCTTGATTGTTCAACATTAAAACATTTATTTTAAATCATCTTAGGAATACTTTAATCGATATTCTTAATTATTTAAGATATATAATAGATAGTATAAACCCCGCAATCATATGAATTATTTTATTAACTTACTTAAAAATCTTACCAATCACCTTCAACTTAAAAATTAAAGGAATTCAACAATTTCTTCATTTAATACAATAAATTTTCTTTTTTGTCTTTCATTGAATCTATTAAATATAATTTTTTATTTTCATAAACTACTGATAAAAAATGACCTCTGTCTAAATTAAAGTAAAAAACAAACCTAAATGTTTTATTCTACTTTTTTTGACTATCAATTATTTACTGAAAAATTCTTATAAGAATAATATATATAATTTACTAAGTTTATATGCCATCGCCCTTGGTTACTAAACTACCAAATATATCTTAAAATAAGTTGCAGTTGATAAAGACTGTATTATAATCATTGTTAATTTTATCCATGATTTTAAACCTTAAAATTAAAATTTACCCAATTACAATATCTATGATACTGGAATTAAGCCATCTTCCAGGTTACAAAGACTTAAGTTAAAAATTATTTATCCCATATTCTCCATAATTCAAAAGAATACGACTTGGGGCAAGACTTGACTTTTTTTTTAACTCAAATTAATATCCCTAATTCTGATTATTCACCTCTATTCCATTCTTATATAATTTTTAAGGTTCTTATTGTTTTACCTACCAAATTTTATCAGCAATTTTTTATGTTAATCTAAATACTCCATTTTTTCTACCACATTCATAATTTCCTTCCAAATAATAATCTTTATGATATAATTCTATTCCTTCTCCATGTTTCATCCCTACCCTATATTCACCTTTATATTATAAATTATTTGCAATGTATAATTTCCCTTAACCATCAAAAAATCCATCATTAAAACACCCTTCATATTGATAATTTTATCCTTCTCTATTTTAAGTTAATTTTCCTAAAATATTCAATTCATATTATGCTTTGCTAACATTTGGATTAAAATGATTATTAACAGGGCCTAAATAAGATAATACAACATCTTTTCTGAATAATTAATCTTCATTCATATGTTCAATTCCTTAATTAAAATATTCAACATGAGTATATAAACTAACTGAAAGGGGAATTAAATATTAATCTTAATAAGATATCCAAATATTTCCAGTCACTCTATTAATTATTAATTATATATTCTTACATAGATCCATTTTCAAGTAAAATTATTTTTTTTGTATTTTAACCATAAATCACTTTACAAAGTTTAATTTATTGTTATTAATTTTTAATCAGTTATTATTCATTTGGCTTTTTTAGTTTTTATTTTTTTTCCTATTATTTAGTTTATTCTATTTTAATTAAATCAATTTCTTTGGATTGATTTATTTAAGCCATAATAACTCCAAAATTTTATTTTAATGATGAAGGCGAGGATTCTGTTCCCTTATCCTTTTCACTAAAGAATATACTAAGATCACTTATATTTTTATATTATTCTTCAGATATTTCTTTTAATTCAAATATAATTTAGAATAGAATTCTAAAATCTTATTTATTAATTTCTTCCAATCTTTATATTTTTTCCCTCTCATATACTATTGATAAAAGTTCTTTATCTTCTAAATGAAAAAGTTGTAATTCTACTTATTTAATAATAATTCCTATAGACCTCATCAATTTTGTAATAACCTATTAAGTTGATTTGCTATAATGTATAATTGTTAATAGAAAATTTATAATGTGATTCAAAATATACATTTTTTCTAAAAATAATGTATTCTAATTATCTAACTAATTTTTAGTTGAACACTTCCTAAACAGCCAAATCACATCACCCATATCATCTCCATCTATTGAATTAAGACTTTAAAATAATAATTCTTCCTATTTCTAATTTTGCATAGTGTTTTTGTTTTCCTCGAATGCCCACTTCACATACTCTTAGAAATTCATTTTTTAATTGTTTTCAGTTTCCATTTAAGAAAAATCTTATCTAACTATAAAATATTTTGATAATTATATTACTTATATCTAAAATTTCAATTATTAAAATATATTTCTTCTTTCTCTATTATTCTTTATAACATTAATTATGATATTATTCAATCTATTCTTTATTTATTTACATAGTCATCAACTTGAAATTCTGATTTTCATCCACTAACTTATTTAATGAATTATCTAGCTTGAATTAAATTAGGTTTCTTTTTTTTTATATAACCCAATCCTTTAATTTAATACAAAGAAAGTATTTTTTCTAACATTGATGATAACAAGAGCATAATTGAATATTTAAATATACACTAAAATTCATATATATATATATTAAATAAATTAATATATCATTTTAATTGATACATAATATAATCAATTTTAATTAATAATAACAAATTTAATACAGAATCTCAAATAATCTTATTATAATGATTTAGGTTAAAAAGAATTGAAAATTTCACACATTCAAACCTCATTTCAAAATAGTACATTAGCAATAAACATTTAATCTGGATCAGCTGTGGCCTATAAGCATTCTCCATAGTTCAATAAATCTCTATTAGGACTTAAATGAGAAATCCTCACTTGATCCTTTAGTGGAACTCTGCTATGATTCATTCTTGCAGCTCGATATCTTTCTTCTATTATTTCTGTAAAATTTGGTTGACTGGTTAATCTTTCATTTATCATTTTGATTAATGGTTATTTTAATAATCTCTTATCAATTTTAGGTTAATCTTTCCTTTAGATTCTATAAGATGTAGGTGGAATCTAATATATCAATAATAATAATATACAAATCCTCCCATTTTATTTTATTATTTTACTTTATTCATGTATAAGACTTCTTCTCTGTCATTTGAATTTTATAAGACTGAAATAAATAAATCTTATGGATTAATTCTTAATAAATCATTCGAATGAGAATCCTATTTTGCTTATCTTGGAGTTGAAATTTCAAATTCAAATTAAGAAGTAATAAATAATTTTTAAAAGCTTGCTTCTGGAGTAACATGAGATAAAAATCTATGTGGTTGTTTAATTACATTCATATTTTTTAAATAGTAATTAGTAACTTCAATACCTTAATAATATTAAGGAGAATTATTATTTTATTAATTCTGTGTTTAACTTATGAATGTGAATGGAAGAAAAGTAGCTTTACTTACTAAATTCTAATCAATATGTTGTATTCCTTTTGGAAGTTTCTTTAAATATTATCCTATATTTTAAGTAGATATTTGATAATGATTAGAATTTTCAGGTTCTGATCTTCCCCAAATAGCTCTGCAATGATAAAACTATGCCTTTTCTAAATTTGCTTATAAGTAGGCTTCTTATCCAAGTTTATCAAAACATACAACCTCTAAATATTTATCTTTAAAATGCCAAGAATATTATAATAACTTCTTTAATATTTTGACTGCAGTTTCATGCATTTTTAAATTATGTGCTATATTACTTATTTTTAGTAACACTTTTAATCTAAATGATTTCTATACTTCTTCAACATCATTACATATATCACATAAATGCAACTAAAATAATGATTGTAATTACTAATTATGTATAAGTTTAGATGGCTGAAGAATAATATGTAAATTTTAAATAGGTTTCTGCCACCAATATATAAGAATTTAGTAATCCTAATATGTTGTCTCTTATAACGTGTAAAATCATAACATCTACAACTGCATCGATTGCCTTATCAAGTTCTTTATTTTTGAATGCTGTTGAGTATTATTATTATAACTGTTACAAAATTGTTGGATATTTACTGTTTCTTCTTTAAAATAATGATGAACTAATAGATTTATAATGATGAGCTCTACTAGTGGTTAGCAAATCGCTATTCATTTAAGTTTCAGTTTCATGAGTTTTCAATGAATCAAGATTTAGTTTGAATAATTTTTTCTTAATTGATTCAGAACGAGAAACTCCTCTCTTAGGGGTATTTAGTTAATAAATTTTGTTTTAAAGCATATATCAAATATTAATTAAAATTTCATATATACATCATTATAAAAACACAAAGAAAAAGTTCATTATTATAGTTTAAACTAAACTACATTTAAAATGGTATTCTATATATTTCCCAATTTTACTAAATTTTTGACTTTCCTTTATAATTAATCCCCATTGTCAATGAAAGGATTATCATATTTTTATTTATATTATTTTTATCTTTATTTACTTTCATGATACAACTCATTGAGTCTGTATTCAGTTATACTCTTATATGAATCTCCTTAACTTTCATGAGAAATATCATTTTCTCTAGATAATTATGGTCTTTAAACTTTTCTATTGATTATTTTAGTCTTTTAGATTTTATTCTAAGATCTACAAGTTTAGCTACCATTTTCAAAAAAGTCTTTTAATATTTATGGATTGGATTAATTTATGCTAAACTTGTCTGCTGCCTCTATAAACTTATTTCTGATATTTAATTTTGAAACTTCTTATTCAGATCTGTAAATTTTAACATTTGGCTTTTTCTGATTTCTGATTTTTTCAGGCATATTTCTATTGAATACATGGTATTTAATCTAATCTTCAATACTATATTACTAATAAATATACTTTTAAATGTGATTGTAATATTCTTAACATTATTTTTCAGGTTTTCTTTTAACTTCTGTTTGTTTAAGTACAGTGTTTCTTAATTTTTAAAATAGTGAAATAGGTTATACTTATTATTTAATTTCTTGTTAACTTGAATGTTATTTTTATTAATCTAAATTTCTGTGAACATAATCAAAAAACCATTTTTTCTTTTGAAATATATTCATCATTCTCCATGCATCTTCATCTGTTATCTCCTTTTTTAATAATAATTCTTTTTCTTCTTCTTTCAAAGGTTCACCACTAAGTATTTCACATCTCTTTATTAATTATTCTTCTTTACAACCAGATATACTTCTTTAAGTAAATTTTCTAACAGGTATTCTGAATCTAGATTATGATATTGGTTATAGGAGTTCTTTTGTACTGGATGTTAATTACATTAATGTTTCTTTCCTTGATAATTTTGGTGGATTAGAATGTTATGGATTTTATGGTATTAAAATAGATTATTTTCTTTAAAATCTTTCTACTAGATTAAAGATTTAGTCAGATTAATTTTTTTTAATTGATTTATGTCTAGTTTATTAACGTCTAGGAGGAGTTCTAGGAGATTTATCAATATCATTAGTATCCATTTTTATGATTTGTTTTGCACTAATAGTTCCATTAAGAAAGAGATCAAAAATTTTAATGTTAGGCATAGTAACAATTTCTAATCCAAGAGGTGGAGGTATAAATGTTGATTTAGTTGTTGAAGTGAATTCGACTGTTTTTGGAGATGAATTATGGGATTACAGCTTATCAAATTTCATTATATTATATACTAACTTAATTATATAATAAAAATTCAATAATTTAACCAATGTGAATAATTGTTAACCATTGTAAAATAAATATGTCTACGTAATTTACTTATTTTTTATCTATCATCTATTATAAATGATATTTTATTTATTTCTTTATTTTCCTCTCTAAGTACTAATAAAGAATTATAGATGCAATGTATTCCACAATCAAAACCATTTTTCTAATGTGCAATTGGCATTACTCTAATTATTTCTTAATGTATTTTTAAATGAGGAAATAAACTATTAATGTTTGTAATTCCTATTTTTTATTATGTTTTATTAAAATCATTAGGTATTGAATCCAAAAGATAGATCATTCCTGTATTTTATTCATATTATTCTAAAATTAATACAATAAAATGAGATTTTCCAATATTTAATGCAAAAATAAATCTATTTTTTTCATTTAGAATATCTATATTATAAATTTTCTAATAACTTTTCCATTAATCTTCTGAATAATATTATTATTCAAAAATATCACTAGAAAATATATCAGCACAATCACATGAATTTATCAGATAATTTTTGTATTTTTTTTTTTCAACCACACATTTATTATATCTCATTATTTCACTACTTGCATATTAAAGATAATAATCCATAACCTTTTGATTAATCCATCTCCCTTCAAAAATAGTTTAGAATGTAAAAAAATCAATTAAATTATCTTTTTGATAGCATATTGGTAAAAGAGTTTTTTAATTATTTCTATTAATTGTTTTATTAATATTTTCTGTTATAAAAGTAATCTGAATTGGACTTTTAAAAAACCCATCTTAAAATTTAGCATCTATACGAAAAGATGGATTTTAAAAAAACCCTTCATTTATTGGATTTAATCTATCATTAATTTCTCCTAGATAATAGGATTGTTTAATTAATTCATTTGTATTAGCACAATGTTTATCTATGATATAATTTAACTCAAACCAATTGTTTCCATTGTAATATATTTTTGAAGGTATTAAAATTGGAATACCAGTCATAGTAAATCTACCTTATATGCTAATAGAAATAAATATAAAATATATACATATTATCATTTGGCAATAAGAGAATACTGGATCTTCCTTAATCTAATTTAGTTTAATTATATATGACTTTATATATGGTCTTATACTATTTAGGTAATTTCTAAAGCTAATTTAGAGGTAAATAATAAATTTATGCAGGTGCTTGAGTCTATTCAACATAATAATAAAATTAGAAATCTTATTGGTTTATATAAAAGAAGATTCTCAAAGTTTAATTCAATTTATAACACTCTTTACAGATTTTTTCATATAATCCTTCATACTTTGTTTTTAAAAGAAAATATTATTGAGAATGTTTTTCATTTATTGATTGATAAAAAAGTGGGTAACTTTCTTGTAATGCTTATTATGATTTTACTCTCTTGAGTTTGTATGAATCTAGTAAGGAAATAAAATTTTGCATTGTGTTTGAAAAGTATTGTATATAATTAAATAATTATATATAAAAGTAAAATATTTATATGTCATTATTTTAGAGAATCACAGTAACACAAAAAGGAAAGGAACTATAAGAATAGCTAAAAGAATAAAACAGACAACCTTAAAAAATAGTACAAGTCAAAGAAAATTAAGGTAAATTAATTGTATAAATAGATAGATAGTTTAGCTCATTTTTTTGATAAAGAGCTTAAAGCATAAGATTAACTTGATAATTATGCATCTTTAATATAAAATAGATTGAAGTCTCCAGAATAAATTATTGAATTTCTTGAAACCAAATTTTAGAAACAACCTTTATTTGTTTAAAAGGAAATGCAAAAAGTTGGATAAAGAATATATCATTATGGAAATAGAGATATTCATTCATAAGTTGTTTTGCCTTAATTAGATTTTAGATAAAAATAATATATGAAAAATAAATATGCAAATTACAGTGAAAATCTATCATCTAGATAATCAAGTACAAAAATATAATTAAGTATTAGGACATAGAGTTGAAGAAGGATTGACAAAAAAAATTAATTTTATGTTATTTTAAGAAGGAAAGTTAGAAAGAATGATTACAAAATATGAAAAATTTAATGAAAAAGCTAAATTAATACCTTAATATCGGAAAGATGATAAGAAAGGAGAAGATTTTATGAAATAGTTACTTTAAAGAATGGATGCTGGACAATAAACAAGAGTGGAATCTCTTTAAGAAATAAAATAATAGCATAAAGCAGAATTAAGTCTACTTGAATATCAAAATCTATAAAAAGAAAGACTAAGATAAACTATGTCAGATTTACATAAATCAAAATATGGTAAATATTGGAATAAATTAAAATTGTCATCCAGAACAGATAAATGATAAAATTGTTTTGTAAGAATTATGACTTATAAATTATTGATTTTATTATACTATCAAATGTTTGGATGCATTAATTCATTAACTTTCTCAGCTCCCTGAATGAATTTACCAATATGTTATTCTAACAATCCTTTGCTACCTTAAATTTCTTAAGCAACTTGCTTAATATTTGGTTACAATTAATGCAATAGCACTTATTAATCCTCTACATATTTAAGCTATGAAACCCAAAAGTCCTATTGATGATCATGAATATATACATGAGTTCTTTAATAACTTTCTAATTCAACCTTTCTACCTGCAAATTCTTTGTCAATTCTTTCAAATTCTACTGCTGATTAATCCTTCTTTCTTTAATTTTCAATACCTGAAACAGCAAAGTGAATCTATTTTAATTATCTTGATATATATATATACCCAATCAGCTATATCTAAGAATGCTTTTGTATATTAAGGATCTTAAAAGACTTTTTAAAATTATGGATCTGCCTTCATCTCAAGTAATAAGTTTTCTTTTTCTTAACTTACACCCTTAAATTAAAAGTTAGCTAATCTACTTTAAAAGTCAGCCCCTTTATCTTAATCAAAGCTAAAATTTAATTAATAAATATTCTTACACTTTCTTTTTGAAATCAGCCCAGTTGAATTTACTTTGGTCTTCATTATAAATAATATGAAACAATTTTGACATGAATTAATCCATTCCTTAAGGTAATTATCCTATCTTATTTAACTCTTTAGAATCAATCTGTATAAGGATATTTAAGAAATTACTTTTGAACAAGTCTCTTTCATTGCACTAGAAATAGAATCTATAGCTTTTTGAATAGCAGTTAATTCATCTTTCTTACCTTTTTTATATGTTTCACTTTTTTTGAGTTTTTCCTTTTTTATCAATATGAAATTTACTTATTCAGATTATATTTTATCAATTAGTTATTTAACAGTTCTACTAATTATTGTTTTTTTTTCAACTAACTCTTCTGTTAATTCATCACTTTAATTAATAATCCTAAAATAGAAAATAAAAATGACTTTTCAAAATCTTCTTATTCTTTCTTTAAATATTCATCTGTTTTAAAAAGATGATCACTAAGTTATGGAACATATGTTTGAGATAAGTAATCATGAAGTATTTTTGCTTTTGCATCGTTTGTTAATATGACTTCTTACATTAATATAATTGAAGAAAATAAATTTAATTTAAAAATAAATCAATTAAAATGGGTAATTAATAAACAAGCGAATCTTAAAGTGAGTTTCTAGATAAGAGACTAGATCCCAATTATGGAGAAATTAGTATTTATAAAAATAAAGCTAACAATTTAATAATTGCAGAAATTAAATAAGTTTACACAAGTGATTCTTCAGCTGAAGAAATAAAAGCCAGTTTAGTAAAAAGGTATTATGTTGAATTTAAGTAAGATTGTAATTGAATCATAAATGTTTGATTAAAATAATATCATTTGATAGTGGAAAGATGGATGACTTTTGTAGTTCATATATAATATTGTCAATAACTGTTGAATACTTGAATGACACATTATAAAACGACATTCATCTAAGAAAGGTCCATAAAACCACATATTCAGAACAAGAGCTTTACTACATTATATATGAGATCTCAAGTCTATGTCATTATATGAAAACTCTAAATTATGAAATTATTGATATTTATCCATCAAGGATTCTAATTGATGATCAAAGATAGATCAAATACTTTGATTAATTCCTTGATAGTACTAGACTTAGCAATTATTACTAGGTTCTCTTTAATTAAAGAGATTTAGAATATATAGCTCCTGAATAGTTGATTCTCTTAGCAGAAAAAAATAAAAACGATACAACTGATTAAGAATTGGTAAACATCTTTTGTCTTGGTCTTATGATGGTAAGTCTAATGAGTGGCTAAAGATGTGTTGAATTCTATAATCAAGAAAAACTGTTATTTAAACAAGACTATGTAAATCAACTAATAAATAAATATTGTTTGAAATACTAATATAGTGATTTCTTTAAATCCACTATTCAATCAATGCTCAAATTACATAAAGAAGGCAGACCAAATTATCAAAGTCTATTATAAATTCTTCATCCATAATAAGATAGTTTTGCTACTTATCTGAATCCTATTGGAAAACAAAGAGGTATTTAATTATAATAATATAGAAATGTTGGAGTCCTAATTTTATTCTTTCCATACTTAAGGATCAGCCTCTAAATCTCATATTTTATCAAGCGATCCAGTAGATTTCAGTGAAATTGATAAAAAAATTTAGTCTGCTAGATAGAAGGCATAAAACACTTTAGATGAAATAGGATTAGATTTAAGACTAAATAATTTTGCGACTACCCAAATAAACATAATTGAGGCAAGTGAATGATTTTAGCATTTTATTAAATCAAATTTTATTAAAAATTATAATGTAACGATAAGAGTCATAAAAGAATCAGGAAATGATAGTTAAATTCCTTAATTTTTGTGCTACCTTAATTTAAAAGAATGTAAAGGGATACATTTAGAGACAGAGACATAAAATTATTATGATGCATATCAGAAGATTCAAAGCTATTTTAAATGGATTTATTCAAGGTTTTTCATCAATTCTAATTTATTAGGATATAGGACAAGATAAATTATGAAAGTTCCTGATGTGGCTAAGTTGAGATAAAATATTATAGAAACTGATGATGGAAGTACATATATAAATATTTATTAAAAGCATATGGAAATCCATAAATAAGATAAAAAAAGATAAACTTAATAAGAATGATAGATAGTTATTTACAGAATGGTCAATTCTATCAAAAACTAAATAGAGTGAAAAGTTCTTAAAAATAATTCGTTCGTAATCAATGGTTGGATAATGAATTTGTTAATTAAGACTAAAACTATTAATAAAATTATTACAAAAAACCTTAAAAATAATTACCTAAACAAAATTAAATAGAACAATAATATTATGATTAATTAATTCAAAACGAATATGCAGAATAGCCACAAGCAGATTATTAACAATATATGCAATAACAATCATAAATTCATGATAAAAGTCATTCTAACTCAAATTTATCAGGATAATATAATCAATCATAAAGATATGAATATTAATAAGATGAAAGACCAATTAAATCTAAAAATCAACACAATTATGTAGTTTAAGAAAGGATAACTCCTGAACGAAATTCATATGATGATGACAGACCCATTTGTGGAAAGGGTAAATATTAATATCAAGAAGATGATAGACCAATAAATGCAAAATATACAAATACTTAGAATCTTTATGAGGATGAAAGACCTATTAATGCAAAAAATAGAAATAATAATTATGAAGATGATAGACTCATAACTGCAAAAAATACAAAAGCCATTAACTAATATGAGGATGATAGACCAATCAAAAAAGGAAAAGATACATATTAAATAGATTAAGAATAATTTCCAGATAATGATAGACCAATTGCTAGCTCTGGATAATATTAATAATTTGAAGATGAAAGACCATTAGGTGGTAAAGGATAATATAATATACCTGTTGATGATATGCCAATTAATGGAAAAGGAACTTATGGTGATTTTGAAGAAGAAGCTCCTCCAAAGAAATAAAAGCAACCTCTAAAGAAAAAAAAAGATTAAAAGAAGGATAATAAAATAATTGATGTACCATAATAAAATATGTATGATAATTAAAATGAAAATGAACCCCCTTTTGGAAAAGCTTAAAATGATGATTAAAATGATCTAGAAAAACCAAAACAAAAAAAGAAAGATCCTAAACTCTTAGAAAATTTAAAAAAAAGAACAAAATATGACCCAAGAAAAGCAATTCAAGAAGCTAAGAAAAAATAAGAAGAACAATAATAACTCGAATAGGTTGATGATGAAGAAGTGATTGAATAATAATTAGAGAAAGAGGTCCTACCATAACAATAATAATAAATACCCTAAAAAAAGTAAGTATTATCATAAAAAAATCTTTAAGAAAAACAATAAAAATAATTATCACCTAAATCTAGTAAATAAAATTTCAGTGCTACTCCTGAGAGATAAACTCCTATGATAGAATAAGTAGATGAAGGCTCTCCTAAAGATGATAATTCAGATCAAAAACCAAAAAACTTTTTAAAAAGAAAATCTAAATAAATTCCATTAAAGAATCCAAAAGTAGATCCAAAAACTGTTAAATCAAAAGTTAAAAATTGTTGGAATGCAGGAAACACTATTGATGATCCTGAACTTGATGGTAATGAAGATATCCCTTAAAGCCCTAAAGCTTATATAACTAATAAATCTCCATCTAGAAGATTTGAATAAAAGGGATCAGAATTACAATCAAATTACTAATAATAATTGTTATAACAATAATAACTAATATAATAATAATAATAGATTTAATAAAATAAATCATAAGGTCCATTACATGTATAAGTTTAATTAGTTCAAGACAATTAATCATAATATTAAATAAATCCAAGTCATTAAGCAAATCAATAATTGTAATAGTAAAAAAGATAATCTATTCAACTTGATGAATTGGAAAGAGCATATTATTCAAAATACACATAAAAATTAGAAAGTATTAAATATTGATTAATAATTTAGCTACTAAAATGAATCTTAAAGTATTGGATTAAGAGAGATAAGAAAATTCAAGAGGAGTTCCTATAATTACAGCTAAATCCAGATTTTTTACTTCATTCAGAGTTAACGATTTCGAAAGACTCTTAGCATAGTTAGAGGATTAATATAATAAATTGCAAATATCAAAATGATAAATAAATTATTATTAACTGTTATATTAAATTTGAATGGAATAAGAAATAATAGACTGGGCAAATACATTCGAAAACACAAAGAGTATTGATGATCTAAAAACAGGTATCTTTTGATAAAAATCAAAGGTGTGGCATTATGTTAGATAATATCGAAAGAATTATTTTAAGACAAAAGATAATGTGAATTAAAGATAAGAGTAATAAATTGCACAAAACAAGACTATTAAAGTTGTATAAGAAATTTAACATTTGCTTTATCTTTGTTAGAAGAAAGTCAATAAATATCAGTGAAGCATTTAACTGGATAAATGCTATACCAAAATCCATTAAAGATTTTTTAGATTCTATAATAATTTTATAGATCAAAATCTGTATCATCAGCTTCGTCAAAACCTCCCAAAGCACCTCAAAAATAAGATGATCCTTTATTCTATGTTGATGAAAACTTAGTCTAACCAAATTAATCAATCTAGATTACATCTAATGAAGAGATTATTGCAAATAAATACAAAATGATTAAACCAAATAGTCCTTATTAAGAGACTAATAATTATCAATAAAGATCATAAACTCATTAAACAGAATATGCTGAAACTTCTAATCGATCCAAACCATAAAATTAATCAAATGATTCTATTAGTAATCTGACACCTATTAAATCTAATAAAGAGTCATACAATTAAAAATTAAAGAATGAACTTTAAGTGTTAGAAAATCAAATAGCAAAAGAATAATAAAATCTATAATAAAAATAAAAAAGAGAAAACAAATCAAAACATAGTTAAGAGAGTTAGAGTCAACATGAATAAGTAAATTAGGATTACATATATAATTAATAATAATAATTGTAATAATAATAATAATAATCATAATAATAATAATAATAATAATTGTAATAATAATAATAATTATAATAAAATTCTATTACTATAGAATAAAAATAATAATTAATTGAATGGCTTAAATAAATACGATTAATAAAATCAAATGCATAAGGATTGGAAAATAAACTGCCAAAAATCTGTAAAAATGGAGTTATTTTTTTTGATTTAATTAATAGACTAACTGGTAGAGATGAAGTTCTAAAAGGAGCTTTAAGAAATCCAAAAAGTATAAGAGAAATCAGACATAATTATAGAAGGGTACTTGAGTACTTAAAATAACTTGAAAGAATGAGTTATAAATACTTAAATTAAGAATAATAGTTAGTTGATGGAGATGAGGAAACTTTTTGGGGTTTGATGCATGATATAAAGGTTTATTATAATAATTGTGGAAATGTTGCAATTGCTAATCATTCTTAATCTGTTGATACTACATTAAGATAGACTTAGAAATAATAACCAATTTAATAAAATACATAATCATTTTAATAACATTCTTAATCTAAATTACAACAATAAATAACACTTTCTTAAAAAAAGTAGTAGCATAAACAATCCTTTGCAGATACTTAATTAGAAATTACAATTGATTAGCCTTAATAATCAAAATCTGTAAAGCCAAGCACTGCAAATAGATCTCCTGTTGGACCTTATTCAAGAATTCATAATATGAAATAAGAATATGATAGTGTTAATAGATCATTGAATTCTCTAATGAAAAAATCTAATATTGGTTCTTAAAATGGCACTCCTGTTAATTAATCTCTTTAACATTCTAGAAATTTTAGTAGCTCAAAATAATAATAAAAAGCTAGATCTACATCAATGAGCAAAAATTGTGTGACTAGAGAAATGGAATTGTATGTTTAAACTTATTTTAAATAAAAAGGTCTTTATAATAATGATAAGTATGTTTTTTATTATATTTAGTCTGTTTACAGATCCTATTCGTAATGGAAATTATATATTATAATTATTAGAATAACCAATCACAAATAACAATTTTAAATCTATTTTAGAAGTTGAATTTAATGTAGATTCTGCTTTATAAGCAACAAAAGCCATAGTAGATGCTGGAAATTTACCAGCTTGGATTGGGAAAATAAATAAATCAAGTATTATGTAGTTAGATAAATCTGCTATGGGCTTATATTGGTGGCTATTAAAATAATAAACTAAAAAGATAGAACCTATTACTAATTCATTTACACTACCATACAGATAAGAAGAGATTGATTAATTGAAACTGATAACCCTTCATTTTGCTAGAGAATATACATCTACTATACAGAATTTTAATGATCTAATTTTTTAATGTTAAACTGGAATTTTGCTATGTTAAGTTGAAACAGAAATATTTTAATAGAAAATTACTCCAATTTACACTAAACCTATTGGAGAAAAACAATGTATTGCAAATATTAGAAAGGCTTTGGATTATTTAAAAGGTAAACCTATTGGATAAAGATTTGTTTGGTCAGAAAAATTAATTTATGAAGGAGATTAATTGATAATTTTGGGATTATTTGAAGATTTAAGGAGATATTTTGATGGGCTACCTTAAAGGTAAGGGGATTCATATTTTGAAGATGGCCCTTATCTAAAAAAGTCTATTGTTTAAAGCAAGGGTATTTCTAAAATAGGGAATTTAATTTAGTAAGAACCCTTTTCTCTCATTTAAAAAGAAAGTAGTTTTGCTTAACCATAATAAGTAAGCAAAAAGCTAATTTTTGATGACCCTCCCTAATTTGAATGGCTCAATAATTTTGGTTTCAAAATAAATTGGAATAATGATATTTTGGAAGAATTCAAAGATGGGTAATTATTTTAAATAATCAAATAGTATTATTATTTGTTCTATAGTGTAAAAGCTAGAAAATATCTAATTTAAAGGATTATAATATAAACCTAATACTAATGCAGGTTGTTTGGTAAATATAAGAAAGGCATTCAGTGTTTTGAAAGATAAATTAGATATGCCTTTAGAATTAGTTATAGAATAAGAAAAACTGCTAAAAGGAGATAAAGAATATATTATAAAATTACTCACTGCTTTCAAAAATATTTACAAAAACAAATTAAAAAGTAAATGAAATTTTCTTTATTTATAAACAATTAACTGAAATATTAATATCATATATTTTCTTTAAGCAAATGGATATTACCAAAGTATTGGAATTAGAGAATGAGAATGTATTGCTTCGTTCAGAGTTACAATAATTGTATGAAGAACTTGATTAGTACAAAATGCATTTATAATTTAGAAAATCTACAGATTAGAGATTGATTGAAGAAAATAACCATTTAAGATAAGAAATTATATAACTTAATTAAAGGCTTTAACAATCAGAATAGTAAAAATAGTTAATAACACTCAAATTGATAGATTAATAAGAACTTAACATCAAATTAAGTAAAACTATCATCAATTTATAAACAAATATTAATGATACCTAACTTGATGGTTGTTAAAATAGCAATTAATGTATCCTTTAAAACAATTAGAACAATAACTACATCTAGCAATTATAAATTTTAAGATAAAGATACTAAAATAAAAATGAATTAGATAGTTAATATAAAGATTAAGAAATATAAAAATTATATGTCCAATTATCTGAATTATAAAAAATAAATAATAATAATAGATAATCTAAACCTATGAATAAAGAAAATCTGACAAAATCTGTATATAGACCTAGAGGAGTCTCAGAGAATAAATTTAATAGTTTTGAAACACAATTAGCAGAATCTAGAATATTTCGTTGATTAATTTTATTAATTTTAATGCTTATTCTATTTAAATATTGATAATTTTCATTTCAAATGATATTTATCCATCAACTGTTTTAAATTTGTTAAATATGTGTTCATAACTGCTAGTTGATCTTACTTTTCATTTATCAAATTTTTTAACCACTAAATTTATTGATTTCTAGCCTCTAATAATAGTCTAGCATCTTCTTAATCTTAATCTTTTCTTAATTTAATTGAAACCTTTGGTTCCGTAAATTAATATATTTATTGTTAAGTTAAAAATGGAGCTTTTGATAATAATTCTTTCACTTATTATATGATTTATCCTTAAGGACTTGTATTATTTTAATATGACTTTAGTTCAGTTTCATATTACTAACATAGTTACAATTGATTGCTGTACTAGACAGCTTACGAATCCAAAAGCAACTTGAAATACATCACTAAGTTTTCTACATCCATATTCTTATCTACATCTTTTTTCTTTCCTTAGATTTTAGCTTCAGAGATAACTTAAAGCATTTATTACTTTAATACAGTTATCCTTGTTAAGAGTTATTCAACTCTGAATCTAAAGTTGATATAATCTCCTCTATATTATTAAAGTTTCTGTAAGACTAATTATTCATCATCCTCTTCTTTTATTGTTAGACTCTTATTTTCCTTTTAAAATAGTTTAATTTAATCAAGAACAGTAGCTATATTTAATTAATCTTTTTTGATCTTCTTTTTTAAAAATGCACTCACAATTAAAGTTAATAATTCTGTTAATTCTTCACCCAAACCTTGGGAATTCCTTTTCATATTTTCTATTTCTTCTGTTTGTTATTCAATTATGAATTAATATTCTTATATTTTCATGTTTTCATGATCATTACTATTATTTATTGGTTTATGATTATTTTATTTTTCTTTTTCTTTCTAATAAGGTTGATAATTTTGATTATCAAGCAATTACTTTAATTCTTAAATTTGATAATCTTTTTGTTTAATAGAAATCTAAGATTATTTAAATTATCCTTCTAATTCATCTAACCTTGATCTTAATTCAAAAGATTCTGAATTTGCTGAGTTACCTATTAGTCCATCACTTCTTAGTTTATTATATTACTTCTCAAGATTTCTGTTTTTATCTTAAAGTTCATTAATTTATAATTTTAATTAATCAATTTAAGTGTTTTTATTTAGATTATCATTAGTTAATTTTTTAACTTATGAAAACAATTCTCCAGATGAAGTTTGTTCTGAATTCATTTCTGTCAATTCTAATTATAATTATTCATAACTATTTTTTGAATTTGTTAAATCAGCCTTTAGTTTTACAATAGCTCCTTCTAATGTTGTTATTTATTATTCCTTTTTTTATATAGTATGTTAATATTATAATATATCTGATTCTTTTGATTATAAAGCATTTTAAGATACTTAAAGTTCTCTCTCTAATACTTTATTTTTCTTCTAAACAGAATGTATTTATTCTTACAATTCAATTTTATTTGCTGCCATTAAATTTATCTCTTTATCCTTTCCTTTATAGATATCTAACTCTTGCAAGGCCAATTCATATTTACTTTAATAATCATCTCTCTAATCTTCAACAAGTCTTAAATTTTCTTCAGATTATTAAGCTCTAAAATTCATTTAATCAAATTTATTTTATAAATTAAAAAGAGCCTTTGATTTCTCATCAAAATCTATCAACTTTTCATTATATTTTTCTTCTAAATGTTAATAATCAATTTTTAATTTCATCTAACTTTACTCTAAATTTAATTAATTTCCTTTTAATACTGATAATAATGCTTCTTAATTTTAAATGGTAGCTTCATGAGAATAAACTTATTATTTTAATTCTCCATTTTCTACCTCTATTTATTTCAATTATGCCATAGCCTACATATCTTATGCTCTTTTCTACATAATCTCATGATTTTCTTTTCTAACTTATTGTAATTATGAATTTGATTCTTTTAATTAATTTGTTAAATCAATTATTTTAGTCTCATGAGCTACAATTGTTGCTAATTTTGAGTCAAGTAAATCAGTTAGACTTTAAAGTTCCTTCTTTTATTTTTAATGTTAATCAGCAATTTCATTATAATCCAACAATTACTTTTCTAAAAAGCTTAATTTTTGACTTTATTCCATATATCTTTATTATAAAGAGTTGTATTCAATTGATTTACTCTAAAGAGATTACATATTGTTTAATTCAACATCATATCTTTTTTTTAGATCATCATATTGATTTTAAATATCTTATGATTATCTATTGCTTTAATTATATTTTTCTTATATTTTTATTAATTAATTTTCAAGCTAAGCAATTTATTAAACTTTGTCATTAGCTTATTTTTCTTTTGCCTTTCTTAAACTCTCTTCCTCCTAAACTTTATATTTCAATTCAGTTATTATTGTTAATTGCTCTTCAATTTTGGCAATATATGATTTAATTTCTTAACTTTAAGCCTCAATTTTAATGTTCATGTTTGAATTTTATTATTCCAATTTCTCCAATCTTATTTATTGAACTTTGCTATTTTCCAAATTAGTTTCCCTTGATTAATTTTGTTATATTTCATAATCTTTAATTTGCTTATTTAATTATTCAAGTGTTAATAATTATTATTATAGATCCTCATTTAAATTTGAAATTTCAGTTTTTTATTTCTTATCATTTTATTATAATCTTAATATCTAAGCCTCACCCTCTATAACCCTTTGTTTCTGTAAATCTCTTTCAGAAATAACCTTTGAAATTTCTGTCATATATTCCCTTTCTTTAGAATTTATTTAATCTTCAAGATGTTTCAATTATTTGAGTTAAAGTGTTCTTTACTATTCTAGATTAGATACCTTTTCATTCAAATTTCTAATTTATTCATTGAGACTATTGATTTATTCTTATCTTGAACGTATTTATTCTTCTTTCATTTATAATTATTTTTTTAGATTTTCTTATTCTGTTCCAAGAATTGATTTTTCATTTTATTCTGCTTCATTTGATTCCTTTACTTTATGAATCTTTTCTTTTTACCCTAAAATAATTAGTTCCTATTCTTCTATTTTTTATTTAAGATTTTCATATTCTCTTCCTTTATTTCCAACTTAAAATTACAAACTATCTAATTAAACTTTTTATTCACTTTATTTTTTTAAACTTTCTGTCAATTAATCATCTAATTAATTTTTTTAAGTGTTTAATTCTTTTATTTTTGTTTCATATGAAGTTACTAACTCTACTTTTTCTTATATTGTTCTATCATACATTTTTTTTTAATGTTCTAGTTCTACAATTTTCATTTCTGCTGCTTTAAAATTTTCTTAAAGATTTTAATGCATAGTTGCTAATTATTATTATTATGATCTTGCTTTAGATAATTCTAATTATAATTATTCAATTTATGCACTAAAATCTTGAATTCTTTAATCTTTTTATTAGTTTTATTATTATATTGTTTAAGATCTATTTTATCTGAAATTTGTTTATTCTAAAAGTTGATCATATTCAATTTATAAGTTTTATGATTTGGATCTCTCTTAATTCAATTTTATAGATAATTCCTCAATTTATTAAAATAATTATTTAGTTAAGGTTGTTTTAGCTTCCAATTCAAATTATAATTATTCTCGAATTCTTTCATAATTTCTCTCATTTTCATCTTTTGTAATTGTTATAGAAGGATTTGAAGAGTTAACTTTAGTTCTCAATTCTTAATTGATTAACATTTACTCTTTTAGTTTATGTTCAATATCACTAAATTTTGAATTCCAAACTTTTTCTGAATTTTAATAATTACTTATTTAAAGTTATAATTCAGAATTTTTTTTTCTTTCTTACATAATTTAATCACCCTCTGATTTCACATTGCTTTCATCTAATAACCCTTAAATTTGTCTTTACAATTATGTGATTGTAGCTTCTCTCTAGCTTAATTAAGCATTAATCAAAAATTTTGATTATTCAAGTTAAGTAATTTAAATTTGAAGCTTTCTTGTTTCATTTTAATCACTAGATTTGGAATTTTATTCTAAGACTTAATTTTCTAAATCTACAATTTTCTTTTATAATCTAGCATTATCATCTTAAAGTTTTTGCATCTCCCTTTAAAAAGAACTTTATTTCAATCCATCACCAATAGCTTAATTTCCTTCTAAGGCTTTGACTTCAAGTAATTATATTTTATATTTATTATTTTCGGTTTAAGCAGAGACCAAATTGTCTTATAATTCCTTATTTTTTTTTTTATATTCATCAATTATTCTTGATTTTTCATTAACTTCCTTTTCAATTTAATGAGTAACTTTTGTTTAATCAATAAATTTAACTTCAGATAATTAAACTTCTTTTTTAAGTTTTTATATTTCTTCATATAGTTTTTCATTCTTTTCTTGCATTTCCAAAATTTTGATATTTTAATCCTTTACTACTCTATGCTTTAATATTAATACTTCTTCCAATTTATTTATATAATCTGTTAATACAGCAACATCTTCATCAACTTCCTGTTAATTTAATACATTCATTGTTTTTCTTCTCAAATTAGAAAATACTAAATCTTCATCTTCCACCTATTTCAAATCATTTTATAAGTTAGTTTGATCTTTGAGTTTCAATTAAACAGTTTTTTTTCTAACCAAATCATTTCCAGTCAATTAGGAATTTAATTTTGCAATTTCTTCCTTTTGATTTTCAACTATTTTGTTCAAAATGCTCACTCTATCAAAGTCCATATTACTTGATGTTGTATCTTAAATAACAGAAGAAAATCTGCTTGTTATTTAAGATATTGACATAGTTTTTACATATGGTGAAAATTAAACACTTTTTGTTTTAAAATATCCATCTTATATCATTGAATATTTCACTTATCTTAACAAAATAACTTCTATTTCTTCAATATTTAATTGATTAGCTTTTACATCAGCAATGTTTTATGATAATGCAGATGCAATAAATTTTATAAACTCATCTTAAGCTTGTTAATGTAATGAATATAAAGAATCAATTACATAATATGTTGATTCAAATTGCAACATATTCATAGTAAAACATTATTAATATTTTATTAATCTTGACTTCAAAAAGTTTGTTATTAATGGCTTGTCTTGTTAAGACATTTTAAATGAAGAACTTAAAACTAATAGAACTCTATCAATATCTTCTCCATTATCATAAGACATGATATTAGCAGGATATAGATTAGCTTATACCATCTCCGCAAAAAAAATGTTAAGTAAGGAAAAGGCAGCTGATTCAGATCCAAAACAAAGAAAGAATACTGTTAACATAATTAAATCTGGAGAAAACCCAACCTCATGATAATTCGACAGAAATGTTTCTAATACCCTCCCTGTTACTTATTTCAATGTTTCATATTCATTATCCTTAATTACATAGTACATGAACTCTCTTATTGAATAGTTGAATACTCCTGGTATTTCAGCAAATGCAATATTTAAGTTATTTTTGAGTTTTCTGACTTCTGATTATTCACTCTGCGAAATCTTACTTTAGGCTTACAAATATTCCTAAATTTGAATATACCAATATAAATACTGTTTTGGCTTATTCTTTTGTAACACCAAACTAATTTAACCACTCAAGTGCTTTTGTATCCTGAAGAAATTAGATACGATTACTATCCACAAATTTTTTGATTGAATCACTTTCCTCCTTACAAACCTTACATTATCTATGTAAGGCTTTTTCTTCTTATCCTGATTCCGTAAATACTCTTCCTTTAAAATTAGAACACTTTTCACAAACTGCTCTCTTGCATCTACAATATATATTATTAATACCTTTTGCATTAATGTTCTGTACCAAACTTCTTCTAACAAATTTAGCATGCCTTGTACTTTCCTCTTTCCCCTGAAATTAGGACTCTTTTGAAAAGAGATTGATTTTTCTTCATTAGATATATGAATAATAATTTATTTAATATTGCAAATAATTTCAATTAATCGAAGCCATTTCTTCTGATAATGTCTTAAATTACACTAGCAAAGTCTATAGCTTTTTAATTGATTTTTCTTGCTCTACAATTTTCTTATCTTTTTCAATAATAATGAGCTCAAGTTCTTAAATCCTCTATCTTAATTCTCTGATAATTTTCTCGTAATCTATCAGATCAAGTTTCTACTTTTCAATCACTTCAATAAGTTTGATTATTTCTGATTCTTTGGTCTATCCTTCTTTAATTAAAATTGTAATCTTTTCATCTTGTTTAATAATTTCATTTTTATAATCCTGATTATACAAAATCAATTCTTAAATTCTTTTCTCTAATTCTAAAATATCCAATTCTAACTTGCTATTTCTATTTTCTAATTTGGTCACTTTCTCTAAATGTTAAGTTATTTGAACAAGTAATTATTGATGTCTATGTTGTTGGTCTTTCTCTGCTTAGGCAATTTTACCTTCTAATTCTTTGATTATAGCTTATAAATTATCAATTTCTAATTTTTAGTTTTCACTTAATGTTTTATATTCATGAGCTTTCTTTTCCAATCCTATAATAATTAAATCTAGTTCTCCTACCTTCTTAATGTGATTTTAGGTTTCTTTCTCCAATCTATCCAATAAGGCCTGATGTTAATTTTACAATAATTAATGTTTATCTTCCAAGGCTTTAAGTTTTCTATGAAGATCATCATTTTGAGATTTTAATTCATTCATTTTTTCATTAGTATTTTCTTTTACTTTTTCATATTCTATAATAATTAATCTATATTTTTCTTTCAATCCTTAATGTTCACCATCAACTTCATTAAATTTCCTTTTCCATTCTTCACATTCAGCAATCAATCTTTGATGTTAACCACTTAAATCTTTATGATCATTATCTAATTTTGTCCATTTCTCTTCTAAAGTTACAAATATAATTTTAAGAGCCTTAAATTCCTTCTTGTGCTCTTCTAGTTTAGCATCCTTTTCTGCTATATTATCTTCAAGATTTTTGATTTGTTGATTATTTTGTTCAATAATTTGATTTAACTCCTCAATTTTCTTTCTATCATCTTCCTTTTATTTATGATGATTTGCTTCTATTTCTGCAATTTTCTTAACTCCTTTTGCTATACCTGCCTCAAGAAGTTAAATTGTCTCATCTTTTTCTTAAACCAAATTCTACATTTAATTATTGTGGTCTAAAGATTAATTTAATTGATCTGAAGTAGTTTAATATTATTTTGTCATTTCTGTCAATCTATTTTTTAAATCTTCAATTATTAAAAGTAATTCATTCTCTTTTCTATCATATTCCTCTAAATTTTATCTTTTTTCAATTCTTACTTGATCTAATTCTTCACTTTAAATTTCATGCTATTTAGTTAATTTATCATATTTATCTTTCAAATCATCAATTTCTTCTTATTATTATATTATAACTAATTCATGATGTTCAATCTTCTTAAATAGTGTTGCAATTTCGAGAGTAAGTTTTTCATTTTCTCTTTTTGTCGAATCCAATTCAATCAATCTAACTTCCAAATTTCCTATTATCTTAAGCTTATCTTAATTTAGTTGTTATAAACCTAACAACTCTTTATTCAATTAATTCATTTAAAACTCCAATTAAACTATTCTTTATTACTCTTAATCTATTTATTATTATAATTATTCTTCATTTTTTTTTTAAACCAAAGCAATATTTATTTAAAAGTTTTTTTCTCTCTATGGAGTTAATGGAGATGGAGTTTAAAGTTGAGGACTTTGATTCTTTAAATCTTTAATCTAAAGATACAAGTCTTTATTTGTTCTTAAAGAATTCTCAAGTTATTATTCTAACTCTTTGTTTGATTTTTGTATAGAAATTACAGTCTCTTAAGCATCCTCTTAAAGTTTGTTAGAATATTTATTTTACTCTTCTAATTATGAAATTTATGTTTCATATTCCTAAATTCTTTTTCTTAATTATTCATTTGCTTCTAAGAGTTGTTTATCTACATCTGAATTATTATTATTAAATTATGGAGCTTAATTTTATAATTCTTTAATTCTATTTTATAATTCAGTAACAAGTTTATGCTTTGTCATTAAAGTTTCTTCAATTTTTTCAATGTATAATTTTAGATTTGTTTTTTCCTCATCAACTTCAGGTGTGGTTTTTACTTCAACTGATTTTCTTCTTTATTCCTAAAAGCCTTTATCTTAAACTGCTGCATTCTCAGACATATTTTGATTAGTTTTAATTTAAATTTCAACCTTAACATCCTTATTATGCTCTGGCTATATCTAATTTGATGGTTTTTTTTCATTTGATCTCTATATCACAACACTTTAAGTCACCCGTTTGTGTGGTATAAATATTATCACTTTTGTTATGGAAAAGTCCTTCTCACATTAAGTTGATTTAACATTTCTTAGTATCTAAGCTTCAGCATCCTCTTAAGAATTTATAAATGTTTTGATATCTTCAAATTATTGATAAAAGCTAACGGCCAAACATTTGATAAAGTTGTCATATCCAGTCTTAGGACCTAGTAGGATTAGATTAATCATATAAAAGGATGTCTAAAATTAAAATAAGTTAATTCCCAAAGTAAGAGCATATCTTGGGATTCGAGTTCTAATAAATGGTTTAATGTTTTATAACTCCTATTATTTAATTTTAAATCCTTGCTCCAATACTTAAAGCACTTAATCAATTTCATGTTGATAATCATAAGGTGTCTTTCTTAAATTTAATGGATACAAATAAGAAGGAATAATGTCAGAGTATAAAATAGTTAAAATTATGAATGCGGATGCTTCAGAGCAGAAACACAACAGGAATATTGTTATCATAACTTAATCTGAGCCATACCCAATTTCTGGATATTATAACAAAAGTGCTCCTAAAACCCTACAAATTTGTTATTGTAATAAATCTAATTCAATATCCTTCATTAAATTAAACAAAAATTCCCTAAATGAATAAGTTAAATTAAGCCAAAAGTCAATCATAGCTAATTGTAACTCCTATTTCATTTTGATGAACTCTCCTTTATCTTTAGCTCGATCATTTTCTTTTTAAGCAAATTCATATTCCTTAAAATATAAAATATCTCTACTTTTTTAGCAATATCTACAGTTAGACCTGATGATTTTAGCCAATCAAGTGAAAAAGTATCTTTTCCAATACCTATTTTGTATTGTTCAATAAATTTTTTTATTGATTCACTTTCCTCTTTGCAGGTATTACAAATTCTATGAGATTATTTGGAATATCCAGCATCACCAAGTACAGGTCCATGATGATTTGCGCAATTCTGACAAACAGCTCTTCGACACCTATTGTTAAGATTATTTTCCAAACCTTTTGCATTGGTGTTCTTTATGAAAAATGCCAAATTCTTTCTAACAGATTTGACACTTTTTAAATTTCCCTCTAGCTTCACTTAAGATGACACCTTTTATAAGAACTTGGGTAGATTTTCTTGACATTTGGATATGAAAATAAAAAATATTTAGGAAATTCGATTTATTTCATCACTTAAATTTTGATTCATTCTGACAATACAAAATATCTCACATACGGGGGTAAAATATAGAATAATATATATATTTATTAAATGATTATTAATTGTGAATCATTTCATAATTTGTACAAAATAATTGCTCATCAAATCTTTTAACTGAATCATACCATTATTAAGAGTCTCTAATTATGTTTATTTTTCAGTTAAAATTAATTTCAATGTTGTAATTTATTGATTTCTTACTTCAAGAATCAATTTAGCATCTTCTTAATCAATTTATTTATTTTTAAACTTCTATTCAGAAAATGAAAACACTTCAGAAGGAGAAAATATTGGTAAATCAATAATTATATCTCTAACTCCTTATAAAATTTTTTTTTCTCTTTTAGATTCTTCTTAAACCTATTAGTATTTATTTTTAGATAATTATAATTATTAAATCCTTGATTCTAATTCTTCTTTGTCAATTTAAAATTATTAGAGTTTTTATTATAATTATAAAATTACAATGTCTAAATTTGGGTTTTAGTTCAAGTCATTTTAATCAAAAGTCTATTTAAATATTTATAGTATTTTTTGCTTAGTTGAATTAATTCTTGAAAAAACACTATTCACCTTTTCAATTAATGATTTTAAAGAATTGTAATCAAATACAAATGAGTCTTCCACTTAATCCATTAATTCATTCAGTTTTTATACAAATTGACCATCCTCAAAAATATTTGAGAACTCTTCAGAAAAAGCTGTTTAAATCTCTATTAAATGACTAATTTTTTCAACTATTATAGAAATTGCTTAATCATTTATATGATTAGTTGAAACTTTACTATCTAAATTCAATAAAATAATTGTTTTAGTTAATAATTCTCCAATTTGCTTGCTATCAGTTGTTTAATTAATTTTTACAACATTATCCTAATTAATTTTCATCCAAGCTTTTTCTTTTTATTTTAACTATTTGATTTTTATCTTCTTTTTCTCAAGTTTTTCTTATAAAGTAGTTATTTCTTTTTCTTAATTATTAATTAGACTTAGTTAGATTTCTGGATTTATTAATTTATCTTTTTCTACTTGAATCATCATTTATAAATGGGCATAATGTTTTTATTTTAATTATTAATATTTTTCTTCTTATTCTTTTAATTATGATTAGAGCTACTAAATTTCTTTCTAATTCTCTGTACCATTACTAATATCTTGATAATTATTTTGCATTTATGTAGTAACTTATTTTGATTATTTTTCTTAAATTTCTAGTTTAATTGTTAAATCTTTTAGTTATGATTCAGCTAAAAATTTAGCCTTTTATTCCTTTTATAATTATTATTAAAGAGATTATATTTATTGATTAAATCTTTCTTAAACTTGTCTCAATTAAAAATTTGATTCATTTTATGAATCTGTGATTTATCTCTAGAGTTATTGAACCAAACTATTATCTTACTTATATAAACTAGACTATCTATTTTCAATATCTTAAATTGATTTTTTGTATAATTTATTTTATTTTTCTAATTGTTCTATTGTACTTTCTAATTCAACTATTTTAGCTGTTGTATCAAATTTGTTTTTATTCAACTTTAATTCTAATTCTGAAATTTATTTTTCTTTTAATTACAATTTACCTTCTAATTCAGCTATTAAAATTTCATCTTTTTTTGATCTTTATTAATTTTAATCCATACTTGATTATTTTGCTTTTAATTTTTCATATTTTCTTTTGTACTTTTAGAAATTTTTCTCCAAAATCTCATATTCATATTAATCTTAACTAGCAGTAGATGCATGACTTTTTGATAATGATTACTATTCTAATTATTCCTTTAATTGAATATTTGCTTTATACTCAATAAAAACTTAGGATTCTAATTTTTTTATATACGCCTACAATTATTATTTTTCTAAATCAAAATTGTTTTACTTTTGTTATTATGTAACTCTTCTGAGATTTTGCAATTCCTCATCTTATTAAGAAATATATTAATCTATATTGATATCCTTTCCTGGGGTCTTATATAAGGATATAACTTATTAAGTTTAGGATAATTTCAATTCTAAGTTCTCTATCTCTAATTTTTATTTTTCTATTTTGCTTTGCTATTCTTAAATAATTTTTTATAACCTTTCGATTTCACTTTTCAAAATAATTATTTAATCTTATTGTTTTATACCTGTCCCTTAGTCACTATCTTATAAAAATGATGGTTGTCTAATTGAAATATTACTATTAGATTTTTAAACAGCTGGAATAATCTTAGAGAAATCAACTTGCTTAGTCAAGAAATATCCATCTTAAATTTTAGCGGAACGAACATTTCTTAATAAAATCAATTCAATATCATCTTAAGATTACTACCGAAATATCTATATCTACCCATTGTAAGCAGTTGCTAAATATTTAGTTAAATCATCATAACCAGTTTATGGTTGCAAAAAAAGTTAGTTTATAATAAAAAACGTAGTTTCAAATACAAAGAAATTTATCGTAAAAGATTATATATAACGAGCCAATCTATATCTTAAAAATGTTTTAACATAAGGGGAATCTTATGAGCTGATTTTATATGCCTAGGTTAAGACTTACATTGTCTTATCTATTTCTGTAAAGAATTCGCATTTCTCCTTTCTCAAACTTAAGGGATATGTATAATGTGGAATAATTAGGGAATACATAAAGACTAAAATTTAATATGCAGATGCTTCACTGCAAAAACATAACAGAAATAAAGTTGTGAAGACTTAATCAGGAGCATAACCTACTTCTGGATAAATTTTCAAAAATGTTCCAAGTACTCTATTAATTGAATCTAAAATTAAAGTAATATCAAAATCCTTTATCACCAAATAAAAAAATTCTGATAATGAATAATTTTTATAGTGGACAATCTCCTAAAATACTTATGGAAGCTCATTCTTCATTTTCACACTCTCTTCTTTATTTCTTAAATTGCTTTCTTCTCTTTACGATTAATCAAAATCCTGAAAATTAGATATTTAATACTAAATTTGCTTGCTCAACACTACTCCCAAAAGATTTCAACCATTCCTTTGAAAATGTATCTTCCATGAATACAATTTTGTATTGATGTATAAACTTTTTTAAAGATTCGCTTTCTTCTTTGCAAACATTGCATTATCTATGAGCAGCCTTAGATGGAACACCATCAATTATTGTGAAAGCTTTGTGTGGAGAACATTTTTCACACACTGCCCTCTTACATCTGAATAAGCATATGTTAACTTATTTTACCTTTTACATTGATGCTCTTTAGCAGAAAGTGCAGAAAAAGACTGATTACAGATTTAACAATTTTTTGCTTTTCCTCTATCTCCACTATTTACTACGTATTTAATAAATTTTGGTCCTTTTTTCATAATCTATATTTTTTGATAAAAATATTAATTTTTATGATAATATTTCATCATTTATATTTTTCACATAAGATTTCTTTTTTTACGTAATCATTATGTGTTACGCTAGTGTATTGCCCTTAATAGGCTGGAACTTACATAATTTCACCATGTTAGTCAATAGCTTTAGCCTTTTCAACTTATTTTGGTTAATATGCCTATTTATTCTGTGACTATCCTAAAAATAAATCAATTGTTGGAAATGGCTTGCCATTTGGGGGTTTTGTATACTAGACATACTTTGTATAAATACTGCATTGTCTTATAATTGCTAAATTTTGAAGCTTTATTTATAAGTTGTATTTGGATTGAAAGGTAATTCTGGAATTACAGTCTTGTAATGACTTTACTTAAATTATTCATAATGAAGATCTCCATAATTCATATAAAAGTTCTAACATTAAAACAAATAGTACTTTATATGATGTCATCGGTGTAGTCCCAAGAGATGGTTTGTAAGTTTTAGATACTTTTTGTTCTGGAGGAATAATTTGATAAGATTTGAAATCAGATCCCATAGTGGTTTTATATTCACAAGATTCGACAGATTTGAATTTTTTAAATTATTCTAAATCAACTTTTAGATCTTATTCTTTAATAGGATTTTCTTTATAACTTGATCTATAATTTGAATTCCAACATAAATTAGTGGCAAATGGTTTATATTAAAATTTACATTTGCATCTACCACATGGACATTAAACGCAAATACATTTACCTAATCTTAGTATATAATATAATTACCAGCTAAATGCTTTACAAATTCTTCTTATTCTGATAAATGTTATTCTACCAAACATTAGATATGTTCTTATTCACTTATATTTTATGATTATTATTCTTCCTCCTGATGTTCCTCTTATACTTATTAAATAGGTTTCACTTTATTTTATGCCATTTCTGATTCCTGCTCTTATTGGTCAACAATTTGCTCATTCATGTTCTCCTATTGTTATTTTTTCTAAAGAACTTGTTAAGGCTCTTTTTTATAAAGCATTGACCTATTATCAGATTAGAGTGATTATTCCGTTTCCTGTATCATTTACGGATTATTTAGTAATGATTTAGAGAGAGTTTGGTTTTTCTCTGTTATACTAGAAATCTATCTTTGTTAAAGATTTCCTAATGTTTTTAATTTAAGTTAAGGCAAGGATTAACTAATCAAAGGAGGTGTTTCATGTCTATTTGTTCCATTTTTAGGTAATGGGATTAAAGGACCTCCTTTGAGTGATTTTAATAATACTCTTTTGCCATATTTGGGCTCTCTACTTGAATTAATTTCTGATTTCTAAGATGCATTTATTGATAATAGAGTTTCTTTAAATTTTACAAGATCATCAGAGTGTTTTTCATCTTTATCATATCTCTTTAAACTATTTTAGCTTTTTGTTAATTTTGTTAGTGTTTTTTCTGTTGGCTTGACTATATATGAATTGCTGGGTTTTAGCTTTTCTAAAATAGTTTCAGAAATCATTCAATAAATAAATTATGTTTATGCAATTAAATTAAAATCAATGTTTAATAAATTCATAATTATTTTCTTGTTCTAATAAAATAATTTGTGGGATGCTATTCCTCTTCTAACTGTAATAATTATTATCGAAATTCAATTTCTTTTCTTTTTGTTAAACTGATGCTATGAATTCTCTTTCTTTATTTGGTGGAGGAAATTGGAGTGATTATTTATTCATTTTAACGAATCATGCTGATGTCTGAACCCTACGAAAAATTGTTTTTTAAAATTAGTTAAGTTTGTTTTAAATATTCTTTTGGTTTGTATAAGTAATCTTCTAAAGGTTTGATACTTTCAGAAAATTTTGGTTCTAAATATTTGCTACTATATTTATTTTTTTTACTTTATCTCTAGTTATTTCATTCCTCCAACAGTAGAGGAGATTGCTTTTTTGAAACCAGCTTCACTACATTCTTCATTATTATAAAATTTTAATAACCTTTTGCATAAAGTGACTAAAAGAAGTTGAACTAATTGATTATATTGAGATTCAAGTTATCTTGTAGCAAATCCACCATATATTGACATTATGCAAAAATAAATTATAATTATTACTTGTTATCAATTATTAATAACTTATATTGAATTCAATCATATCACCCAAAGGCTACCTTCTTTCTTCCTCTTTGTCTAACCTCTCTTAACTTTTAATCTACTTCCTTACCTTTAATTTATAATTTTTTATATTCCTCCAATAATATTTAGAATTCATTTTCTAATGTAGGATGAGTGCTCAGAAAAGCTTTTTCAAGTACATATAAATCAACAGCATAATCCTCTGCAAATCCAACCTTTGTATAACTTAGTCCAAAATCAATAAAGTATGGCTTAGAATTTTAAACTAAAATATTTGAAGTGGTCAAATCTCCATGTATTATTCCTCCATTGTGTAGTTTAGCTATATCTTAAGCAACTAAAGTTAAAATTTGTTATATTTCATTAGCTTTGTTCTCCTTTTCTAAATTATTCAAATAATCCTTTAGTTTGACTCCATCTATATACATCATAATTATCTAGTTATTATCGACATAGTATAAGTGTGGAACATTAACTCCTAATTATCTTGCTTTACTTAACAATCTTGATTCCTATATTAGTGGTATTTAATACAGTTTTAACTCTTTCTGTAGTAATTCTATCATCTAGAGCTTTTAGTCGATATTATTTTGATAATCTCTCCTTTAAAATGGCTAAGTCACCTAAAAACTAAATTTTGTAAATCCTAGCCTCTGCTCCTTAAGAGATTAATTATTACATTTAAGTATAAAATAAATAATATTAGCATAAATCAGAATAGAAAGTGAAATTTCTTAAATATATCTTTTACTATTTATAGAAGAAATATATTATAATTATTTCACAATCCTGCTTCTTCATCTTCGTCTTTGGTTGATTAAATACCAAATAATCTTTTTTTTGTTGTTTATTTTTTCTCTTACAATTCTTCCTCAGAAGGAGGATAATAACTTCGCTTTTCTTGTATATTATTTAATATTTACTTCTGTTTTTATTTACTTATGAAGCTGAGAAAATTTACTTTACTACACTCCATATTAAGTTTCTTAAATAAAATAGCGTTAAGATCATTATTGAAATTATTATGTATTCAGCATAATCTAAAATGTTAAAAGATGTAGTATTTTATCCTGGTTGATTTTGATAGATGGGACTTTACAAATCTAAACTATCTTATTTTTTTAAATCACTTTTCACAATTGGTTTATCAGTAATAATTTAATTCACTTAAATGTTTGTTTTTTCTGTTGGACATTCTTATTCGATCGGCCCTAAATAGACTCTATTATTTATATTTATTTTTACCCTCCTTCACATTAATCACCAGGTATTTTTCTATAGCCTTATGATTTCATATAAGTGCCTGTGCATTTAATAGGAGGTGGTTATGATGAAAATCCTTACGTCATTGGAACACATTCACCACCATCTATTTTCCTCATAAATCCTAAATCACATTCCCAATCTTCAGCTGTACAGGGGCAGTTTTCGACTAATAACTTTTTTACTATTTCTGGATTCTTGCATTTCGCTTCCCTTTTTTTTCTTTAATACTTCACTTTTTGGCCAAATAAGCATTTCTATTGTTGATAATTCAATGGGGACCAATATTCATAATCAGAATCTGGATCATCAGGATTTTCACTACCTTTGCAAATTCTTTGATATACATTAGATAGATCAACTGGAATTAAGACACCAATTATAGATTCATATTTATTCCAAAAATCTTCTTAAGGATTATCTGATTATTTTATTCTACCATAAATTAAGAATTTTTATTCTTCGTTCGAGGGCTCTGTAACTATATTATCAATATCCAAAGAGATATTTAATTTTATATCTTAAAAGGTCATTCCTTCATCTTGTGTAAATTTGGCCACATTTGTATAGGATTCTGATTCAGCAAATATGATAAGTCCTCCATGATCTCCTATCTCATAAATATAAGTTCCATTTAATATCTCATACCAATTATGACCTCCATCTCTTGATAAATAAGTGTTAGTCTCTTAACCATCAAGGTATAATCCTGTATTTCCAGTTCCAATAATTATTCCTACTGCTTATTCGCTACTATATATTAATGATGTAGTTTCAGTTCTACCTTTCAAATGAAGACTGCAATCTCCGTTGCAATTTAAAGGTTGTCCAGCGTAAGAATATTTTGGAGCCTTTAATGAATGCCATTCAGCTCCTAAATCAAAAGTAATTACTGATTTTTTGTATTAGTCCAATCTATCTGAACTCTAAAGTTTCATTTCCCTTTCTGAGTTGATTCTCTTTCTTCTCTATTTAGTCTTTTCGATTTCATCATAATCAAAAATATTAGCAATATATACACCTTTCATACTTTTGATTTTCTCAAAATCACAATGTCCAGTGTCTTGACTTCTAACATTTCCCAAAAGGGAGACTGTAAATTCATTACCATCACTCATATAAATATTCGTTACTTTTGATAATTCTTCAGCGTGTGCCACTGACATATAGACAATACTGTCTGTTACATCTAAAACAGTGAATGTATGTTTGCTTTAGTCATCAATTGGCAGTACTATTTCTTAAGGGAAATACGTTTCACCTAAATGAGGAGACATTTTTAAATCATATCCCACACTGTATTAGTCAGGTCTAACTAGTAAAAATAGATAAGTAGGTGTTTAGTAAAATCCAAAGCAATCCTTTTCTATCTATTTGATCGTTTTAAAAAAGTCATCAGAATAAGACACTTTTAATTCTCCTTAATTATCAACATGGGATACAATTATTCTCATATCTGGAACCATTTCATAATGAATTAATTTATCCCATGCAGCATCTCTAACATGATCCAAAACAGGTTACCATATTTGACCTCCATTTTTTGTTACCCAAAGTTCTCTCTTATATTATTCTTTACAGCTCTTATCTGTTTTATTGCATTTCTTTTCTTAAAATGCTAAAATTTAATCTTTATTTAATTTATTAAATCTAAAGCCATATAATCTATTATCATTAAATGTTCGGTAAGTTCTTCCGCAGTCTTGACTGATGAAGGATTGATTATATCCAATGAAGTACATAGTGAAAGAATCTGCAGGAGATTACATAATGTCTTTAAATTTATAATTGCTATCTAATTTCTATTAATCTATTAATTATTATGTCACGTTTTCCCATTTTTAACCATAATCAACAGATCTATACCCAATTCCTTTATTTGATAGAACAAATAATATTTTTCTATGTTGTTAAGCCTCGTTTTTCTACTCAACTACATCATCATCAGATGTAACAATAATTGAGCCTCCACACCAAAATACCTGATCAACTGCAGAATCAATTATATACGCCGATTGAGTTACACCTAGAAATAGAAATGCAAGGTATAATTAAATCATAATTACACGTAATTAATTATTTAATATACTATTTAACCTATAAATTTTATGAATATACTTTTATCAATAATAAGCTTTATAGCTGATTGCAATGTATTCTAAAGATTTCATATTTTCATCCTATCTACCTAATAGCGCTGGAAAATTACATACTGGATGGTTCAATGAATTATTGTTATCAATTCTTTGAACATTTGTCCCTTCCACTCAGCTAAAATATTTCTGTTCATTGTTTTAAGCAACCTCTATTATTAATAATCCTCCTTACAAAATGAAGTGTAGCTTCAACTATTTCTCCACAACCGAACTGAACTGTTCTCTAATTGAAAATGGCAGATAATATGGATACATTCCTACTTCCATTATTTCCATATTTTTGCATACCTATTTTAGCCAACACACCTCCTTCTTTAGCTTTTTAGATATAATTTTATTTATACAGATAAGTGAGATAAATTATAGCTGTAAAACAATTATGTTCATTGTGCCATCCTCACCATTCAATTCTACTTTGCCCATCAAAATAAAGTAATTATCTTTCAGCTCATGAGTCGCAAAATCTTTTAAATTTATGGAATCTACTCATTACATAAGGATTGCATTTTGAAAATTAATTAGGTTTCTTGGAAACTTATATTAAAAATTAGTTGAATATTTGACTTAATATTAATGTATAGTGTAATAATTTGTCTTTTTGCTTCACATTTGAGATATAAAATTTCAAGTCAATCAAAGAAAATTGTTTTTTATATTTTTTAAAGAATCTATTTTCAAAAAAATATCATTGTTAAACAATTACAATTACTAAATCTCCTTAATTATAAGATAAAATTAAAATAGAAAAAAAGCATATCCTATAAGAATTATTGCAGATTTTTAGTATTTATCATGAAATTAAATTATGATTAATTTGTGAAAAAATATTTTCCAGTTTAACAAATAACAAACCTAAAGGAATCCTCTTCATTAATATTTGTATCAAAGTAAGGATAAATAATAAAAGAATAAAATTTTACAGAAAATGAATGGCTATTATGGAGGGAACATTTTCGATAGGAAATTGAGTTATAAAATATTCTAAATGAATATGAACCTAATTACTTTCTCAAAATTTTGGATTGGGCTGAGGAATTTTAAGAATAATTGCACAAAGTGTTGATTATTTATGAAAACTAAAAGGATAGTTAAAATTTAGAATTATACATAAAAAATAATACAATTAGTCAAGAAAAATTGATAAATATCATTATTTAAATCCTTGGAATAGGAATGGCACTTTAACGTAGAAAGATTTTTCACTTAAATATAACTCCAAAAAATTTGATATATGTTAACGGATTTATTAAGCTTACTGACTTTGGTAGTTCTAGAGTAATACACAAATAGTATTATTCTTAAAAATATTCTGAAGAACGTAAATATTATTATCATTTTTATTAATCTACTTCTATGTTAAAAATAAAAATGAAAGAAAATTTAGAAGAATAAGATTTATCATTTTAAGAAATAGTGTCAAATGAATTATTACAAAATTAAATTTTCTAAGAAAACGATGAATGGTCATTAAGTCTAATAATTTGTTAAANCTTCAACTATTTCTCCACAACCGAACTGAACTGTTCTCCAATTGAAAATGGCAGATAATATGGATACATTCCTACTTCCATTATTTCCATATTTTTGCATACCTATTTTAGCCAACACACCTCCTTCTTTAGCTTTTTAGATATAATTTTATTTATACAGATAAGTGAGATAAATTATAGCTGTAAAACAATTATGTTCATTGTGCCATCCTCACCATTCAATTCTACTTTGCCCATCAAAATAAAGTAATTATCTTTCAGCTCATGAGTCGCAAAATCTGATAAATTTATGGAATCTACTCATTACATAAGGATTACATTTTGAAAATTAATTAGGTTTCTTGGAAACTTATATTAAAAATTAGTTGAATATTTGAGTTAATATTAATGTATAGTGTAATAATTTGTCTTTTTGCTTCACATTTGAGATATAAAATTTCAAGTCAATCAAAGAAAATTGTTTTTTATATTTTTTAAAGAATCTATTTTCAAAAAAATATCATTGTTAAACAATTACAATTACTAAATCTCCTTAATTATAAGATAAAATTAAAATAGAAAAAAAGCATATCCTATAAGAATTATTGCAGATTTTTAGTATTTATCATGAAATTAAATTATGATTAATTTGTGAAAAAATATTTTCCAGTTTAACAAATAACAAACCTAAAGGAATCCTCTTCATTAATATTTGTATCAAAGTAAGGATAAATAATAAAAGAATAAAATTTTACAGAAAATGAATGGCTATTATGGAGGGAATATTTTCGATAGGAAATTGAGTTATAAAATATTCTAAATGAATATGAACCTAATTACTTTCTCAAAATTTTGGATTGGGCTGAGGAATTTTAAGAATAATTGCACAAAGTGTTGATTATTTATGAAAACTAAAAGGATAGTTAAAATTTAGAATTATACATAAAAAATAATACAATTAGTCAAGAAAAATTGATAAATATCATTATTTAAATCCTTGGAATAGGAATGGCACTTTAACGTAGAATGATTTTTCACTTAAATATAACTCCAAAAAATTTGATATATGTTAACGGATTTATTAAGCTTACTGACTTTGGTAGTTCTAGAGTAATACACAAATAGTATTATTCTTAAAAATATTCTGAAGAACGTAAATATTATTATCATTTTTATTAATCTACTTCTATGTTAAAAATAAAAATGAAAGAAAATTTAGAAGAATAAGATTTATCATTTTAAGAAATAGTGTCAAATGAATTATTACAAAATTAAATTTTTTAACAAAACGATGAATGGTCATTAAGTCTAATAATTTGTTAAATTATAACAAAACAATTTGATATAAAAATTAAGCACTATGAAGACTTTTTTTGTTTTAATTCTTTCAGAATAAAAGAAATGATGAAATAAGTGAGAAATTCATTTCCTCAACTTTATATATTTTGTAATAAATTAATCGAATAAAGACTAGGATTAAAAGTAGCCTATAATACATTAATCGAAATAACTTCCTCATCTAAAGCTTCTATTTCAAAAATAAAACCTTTGATAATGAGGCTTGACCCACTCAACAATTATTTAGAAAGGGAATAAGCTACTAAAATGATTGAAGTGGCTAAAAATTATTATTATGTATCCAAAGCTGAGATCTAAATATAAGAAGAAGGATAAATTTATTATTAGTTGAACTCCAATAATTTATTGACAACTGCTCCTAATAATAGTAAGAAAAGTATTGATGATGAGAAGCAACATAAATTGTAGATTTTGCATTAAGCTTACAATTTAATAAATACATTTTTTGTAAGAGAACCATTAAGTGTTAATAAACTAAATAACAGTTAGTTGAAATAGCTGCATTTAATTGAGAAAAAATAATAATCTCCCAAAATTTAGCACTAACATACTATTAGAGATTTATAATCTTGTAAAGAAATAAGTGGATCAGAAGTAAATTCAATGTAATAATCATTTATAAATTAAAATATTTATAGAGATTCCATTTTATATAAGAAATCTAACTAATTAAAACTAGCTACTATAATCCAGCTTTTTTGGGACTAGGATTTTATGTAAAATTATTTATTGAAATAATTTTATATCTAAAGCTCTATTCATGGTGAGTATGAGTTTAAGTTTAATGATTCTTAATCTCATTTATTTAATTATAAAAGTAAAATATTGAGGATATAAGATAAAAAATAGATTTATTAAGGATACGAAAAAGATAATATACCTTATGGAATCGGTATTAAGCTTATTAGAGAAAAAAACTGGAAATTGATATTTGGAGTTTTCGAAAATGATTAAATTTTCTAATCTATAATGATTGAGCAAAATAATCAAAGATCAATATAAATTTATTAAGGCAAATTGAATGAAAATCAAATGAAAGAAGGTCAATGCATATTTGATTGGTTTAGACTTGTAAATAACAATCTCTTAAAATATTAAAAGCATATTGGTTTAATAAAATAGAATAAAATTTATGGATACGGAGTTAGAATATACTATTAATATTTTCATTCATAAATTAATTTTATATATAAAGGAAACTTTGAGAATTCTTAAAAATAAGGTAAAGGATAGCTTTTCAAGGAGTAAGATGGCAATTTAGATTTAATATTTGATGGAGAATTCAAGTAAGATTAATACAGTGGAGTAGGATTAGCTTATTTTTAGAAGGATTTAACCATATAAGCAACCTTTTTAGAAGGAAAAATCAATCAATTTTCAGAGTTGAAATTTAAAGAAAATTCAGTAACTATTTTTTGAATTAAAAAATTTAATATTAAATAATTAAATCATAATTATTTTTGATGGTTTATGTATCTTATGGTTATAAATTTAAACTCTTTCTATAAAATAAAAAGAGATCTTTTATCAGTTATTGGTATAAAGATTTAATTTCCAAAGGATTAAGACTACATTTTTTATTATTTTTACAACAAAAATTCATTATTAACTTCTGTAATTTTTTATTTCTAATTTGATTAAATTTATTTCTTCTTTTACTGAAGAATACATCTAATTTATCTATTTTATACTAACTTATTTATGTAATAGAACAATATTGTTTTTATTCAATTTTTTAGCTGGAAATAAATTAATAATAGTTTATACTTGAAAGTTTATTATTTAATTCTTCTTTTCCTTTAATTAATCGATAATCAGTTTCATAATATTTTAATTAACCATTTAATTTATAAGAAATAGCTGAACTATTAAAATATAGAAAGAATTCAGTTTTTTTTTAATTGATTTTTTTGAGAAGTTGAAAAATAAGGGAAGCAGTTAACAAGCTTAATATTTATTTATTTAGCCACTGTAATTAGATTTGAACCCAAGCCTTAAATCCTTGATTGTTTAATTTTCAAAAATGGAGCATCTGATATGAATTTATAGATTATCAAAATTTGACTTAATTTGTAAAATTAACTTTACCAAATAGAATAATATAAATTATATTTTTAAAGTAATATTGGTGAGCGATAATTATTCTGAAAATGATGTCACTATCTGTTCTATCAGAAACTATAATTTTAATTTTTTTTCTTTTTTTTGTCAATTGAAAAAAATAATCATAACTTTCACTTTTGAAAACCAATTATAAATTTTACAAAACCAAGCAAAGTTTAGAGATGAGATTTAATTTATTTTTTCGATAAATGTTATTTATTCAAAAATTTCTTAGTTTTTATTTTCCAAATGTAATACTTATCTCGATATTTTATTTATTATTAAGAAT